ATTGTGAATTGGAGGACACCCTGGCCCATACCGGAGCGGTCAACGTAAGCCCTCAGAGGTGGGTTGGGTGTGTAGAGGTACAGATCGCCCTCCTCGGTGAGCGAGAAGCTGGCGTAGTTGGCGTCTGGCTCTGTGCACGAGGAGTTTTGCTTTGGTGCGTTGATGCTGAGACCTCCCTTTACGGCTTGAACATTTCCGAACTGGATAGGGGTGCCGGTGCGGAGAGACATCAGGCGGAAGACGTCGTTGCCAGAAGGTTTGGTGGCAGCGAAGGGGTCGGTGTTGGTAGAGTTGTCGGCAGTAGCGATGGGCGAAGCAGAGACAATGGCCAAGGTGGAGGCAATGACGGCGGAGGTGGTGAACTTCATGTTGGGTGGTTGTGTTTGGTTGAGTGAGTTGTTGGATTTGGTATTGAGATAGTGATTGTAGTGTGATGTGTTTGTAGTGGTGTGATGAGGCTTTTCGGGCAGCCCTTACGTCGTCTTATATATCAACACTTTCAAGTCCGTGTGCACGATACGAGATTGCACAACAAGGCCGAGGTAGTACATCATCACTCACCAGATGTCGTGCATGACGTTGTAAATCTCCGAAAATAACTTCTTTCCCAGCATCGAACCCATGGCTAGTGCCGGCTGCGGCGCACTCGACCGTCCGCTTAGTGCCCCTTATTGCCCGACCTGGTTCATGCTTGTCACTAGCGTTTTCCAGGGTAACATTGCCACCCCAGCATTCCATTTTACTGTGGCTGAGCCAGTACTAGACATCAACGTCAACACACTACACTGCCATGTAGCAGTATTTGCCTGCCTAGGTATAGCCGCATGTCGAATGAGAATCGTGAAGACAAAACAGACGTGGTACTTGTGCCAAGTACACCTACGGATGAAGTCGCTTGGCACACGGTCTCTCGCTGCAATGTATGCAGAGCCCGTGCTGAAGCTCACCGTCTTCGATGTTGTGTACGCTTTGCTGAGGTATAACCTCGGAAAGCAGATGCTCGTTGAAGAAACCTTGGAATAGAGCAGTCATTCTCGGTTCCAAGGTTGTTTTCACGAGTCCTACAGTCTCGTATAGTACGAAGGTCTTTCTGGGATCAGCTAAATGTTTTCGCATGGACTAGTGTACCTGCGAGAATGCGAATGTCGTAGACACAATTGTTGCCGCATGACTGTGTAAAATCAAGGAGCTTCACGGCGCACCGATGGTTGCCATGCGAGTCATAGGCCGTTCGGAACCATCTCGGCCCCACTCACGACGACCAGATTGTCTACCCTTAGAATAGCATTGAGTGACAGCTTGTAGGGAGAAGACCTCCATGAGATATTCAGAAAGAGTAAAAGCTTCTAAGGAACTGTTCCAAGATGGATAGCATCCGGAGACAGATGTTCCCAGATCCCACGTACGGGAGATTTTCCATCGCGCGCCAACCCCATTGTCTATAGCGGTACACTTACTTGATTGAGAAAGATCTGTGTCGCAAGCCCAGGCCGAGGTTTCGCCACTCTCGTCGGCTTCGAGCTCCCACCACCAACCAACGACCGCCAACTCTCCCCTATAATGAAGCGCAGCCTATCTGATACCGATCCCCAGGACCACAGTGGTGTAGGGGCTACAAGGTCATCATCACGAGAAAGCTATGTAGAATTTCAACGGGAGCAAACGCTTTTCTAAGTCGCATCTATCGCCCCAATAAATGTAGACATTGGCTCAACATACCTTGATTTATCGTTCCAGAAGCTTGGACACCTTGGACTCCTGAACATACACTGTTTAGATTCATCAACTCTGTCTGCTGATAGAAGGTATCTCGTTATGCCTTGCATGGGAGGATGTAGGCTTAGTAAGAATATAGTGTCAAGGTCTTGGGCTGTCGTAACCACTCCACCAATATCTCAAATATCTTGTTCACGTAATGTTCATGTTCTTTTCTCTAATCTCTCCAGTAGAAGTGCCTTCTCTGTAGTTGTTCCTTATTCACTGGAAACAAGTAGCTGAAACTTTCGCCACACACTTCAGACACATCGAATCCACTGACTAGTTAAGAATCTTGGCCAACTCTGGCGTCTTTCCTGCCAACTTCCAAGGCTATCTAACCAAGACTCCCAACCCGGGCACTAGCCTGTCACACTCAGTTGAGTTCGTAACAGCCAACAGGTATTACATAATACATAGGCAGAAGCTGCTGTTAAGGAAGCCCATATCAGCACCCACAGTATAGTGGAACCCATAGAATTAAGCTTACATTATAGGCTTTATCCATGGTTCACCTTCGCTCACTTATCTTATTCCATGCTTAGAAGAGCCACACTATAGGGCACAAATCTCAGCAGAAGACTGGCCGCGATGCTTGCGCTGCCGATCATGGCGAGGCATCCACCACAGAAAACGATAAAGTAGAGTAGCTCAAGTGGGCGCTCGTAAAACCACATATGATCACCATCAAGGCGATCGTTCTTCTCACACCCGGTAATTTGACCATTTGGAACGTACTTGAAATCGAGCAAAGAGCCGCCCTTGAGACCATACTTGGAGTGAATAATGGAGTTATGCAAGATCTCGCGGCAAAACTGGATAGACCAAGCCTCAAATGATGGGATCCAGTGCTGGGCAGTCGCGAGGGCAACTACAAGCCAACAGTGACCATTGAAACAAGCGTAATGATACCAACCTGGGCGACCCATGCCGAGCTGATCACAGATGTCATCCCCGTTCAGGCGGCGACTGCCAGCTTCAATAAAGCCAGCTGATATGTTGACGGGTGGAAGGTCTTTGAGGGCCTCGACGAAGTTGTGTCCGACGACGAGTGATGATGGCGTGATGTGCAGCTCGTTGTAGCTCAGAGACTCCATGATAGCCTTAGCCTGAGATGTCGTTGCAAAGAAGTCGGTTGGGGTGCCGATGACGTGACCGACATATCTCCAAAGCGCAATGTAGTCGTCGACCTCTTGTTGAGGTGGGCGGACGCCCATATGCGGCAACTGCTGCCAAGCGTGGTTACAACTGAAAGTGGCAAGGGCATGGATCGAGTCAAGCCTGTTCATGGGTACGCCATGGATGCTGGTGTCATAGTAAGACGGGCCTTTGACCTCAGCCACACGTAGCATACGCTGTTGGACCATCGAGTGCAACAAACGCACACGTATTGTAGTCTCGTGACCTTTGCCGCCGGGTTTGATGAAACCCAATGAATGCGTCACCTCGAGCACGAGCTGGAAGGTCTCCAACAGCCGCCTTCGTAACGATCGCGTACTGAAGCCGCCTGTTCGCAGCAACACCTCAACTACACTTGTTGAAGCTGAGTTCTCGCCAACAAATCCCTGGAGCGCGAAGCCAATGATGTTTCCCAATGCGTAGCGATAGAAAAAGCGCTGCCCACGTTCAAGCTGCTCCCAGTTGACCCAATCGGGCACTGTGTTGACCTGTGTCCAGAATTTCTCGAGTGTCTCATTATGATGCCGGTTGGCTTTGAGTGTCGCGAACATGTCGAGTCGCTCTATCTGTTCTCCCCGTTGCTTTTGGGCTTCATGCTTGCGCTGGTGGATCTTTTGGATGATGTTGACAGTAGCGGCACCCAGCTCATCGTGCTCGAAGCGAAGGGGATCAGTCTTTTCTTTAGGAGTGTGTTCTTTAGTCCAGTGAAAGGAATAATTTCCAACAGTTCGGAGGTCCTCTGCCATAGCTTTAGAATATCTGCGACTGGCCATGTCTCTTCAGAGTGCGGTTGGAAAATTGTATCCGAAGTTTGAAGCTGATGTTCGTGTGTTTCTAGTACATGCCACTATTACTCGTTCGGCCGCGCTACACAAAGATGCACACTAGTATTCAAGAGGAAGGAACAGGTATTGGAAGCGAACTTGAAAGATTTGTATAAGAAACTGGGCAGCGAGATTCGCACTTTGCGCTGGCTCCGATTGAAGATACCAAGGGCCTCAATTATCTAGATACGAGACACTAGTATGCATCGGGGTTTTGTAGTAATTTCGCCAAGAATTAAGGCCCCTCAGCACTCCTAAAACCTCGTGTTCATGTCTTGACTTGACTAGGTACCACTTCTTGGCCAAAAGCCATCCCTATCTGAGACTACGTTTATATAGATCCACACACCGATTATACTGGTTGACACCTGTAGATTTGGATATTACGTGAGCTTTCTTACTTCGCCGTATAGTTCAAAACCACTGTGCATAAGTGCTTACACTTTCTTATCGATACACGAAAGTAGATAAATGATTACACTGGAGTGAACCACTAATGTAAACTTAGACCCGTTAACTCTCTTGCGGAACACGCTGCTGGTCCCACCATGTTTCCACAATTCAGCGTGTTAGTTGTTCCTCCGTTAGATCGATCTAGCTGTTGACTCAAGCTAGCTGCTTTATACACTTGTCTCTTTCCATGTCAGTTTACCTTGAATTATGCCTCTCACTTCACTCTCGACTTGCTTGTTATCCTAGCTTTATGAAAAATCCGCATTTATTGCTATCGCAATACATCAGTACATGTTATAACCGCAGCTATGGACGAGAGAACCATTGTTACCATCCCTGACCTATACAAGTGCTTCTTGACACAAGAACCTAGGTCAAATAAGGGGTACCAAGCTGCCAAATTTGAGTCGGAGCGATGGCTTGCAAAGTTAGTGATTTCCGTTGCCAGATACCTGGATCCAACATTGCGCTCTAACCGCACCGATCAGAACATGCGACTTCGCTCCCAGTATGAGCAAAAAGGTTAAAGCCTGCGATTTCTCCTTTTTCATCTCCATCGCGGCACCAGACGCACCTCCAGACAGGCTAAAGACTTTATGCGACTGGGGGAATTGGGTCTTTCCGTTCGACGACTGTGAGCTTCCATTCCAGGACCGATAACAAATTTGTGTGTTTCGAGTATGACCTCTTTCCTCACTGACGGTGGAAAATACCACAGTGTTCGACTCAGGCGAGCTGAGAACCGACCTTTCAACATCCGAACGGGTTCTCGATAGTCTCATGGCCAGCATGACTGGCAATCCCTTCATCGGGTACAAGCTTCCTATCGTTAAGGCACATGACGACATCTACAAACGGTTCGAAAATGGCTCCTCCAACGGTACCCAGAGACGATTTGTTCGTGCTATGCAGCAATATACATTAGGTGTAGCGCACCACGTCGGACATTTCACCACCGATCACATCCCGTCCCTACAGGAGATGCTATCGACACGTCAGCTATCGGTCGGCGTCGCGCCACTCTACCATCTCGTTGAGTACGCGCATGAGATTGTGCTTCCAGATGAGGTCTTTGAGCACCCCGTGATCCAAGCACTAGAGCGCCTCGGTGCTGACTTCGTTATTCTGTACGCTGCTTTGATTGTTCTTCCATATCGTTCTATAATACTAACTGTATGCACACCAGATCTAACGATATACTCTCGTACCGCAAGGAAGAGGTAAGCCCTGGCTCGAAGATACGTGTATAAGTCATCGAGAGATCACCCTGACCTTTCAAATGTATAGTGTGAAGGATGTCCTTTTAATATGACCGCTGTCTGCCGGCTAGCCGGGCACTCAGCGCAAGAAGCTTTCGATATATTGGATTCCCTGCTTGAGCAGCGTTACATTCAATGGGATCAAGCAATTCATCATCTGCCCAGTTGGGGTGCAGATATTGACGGTGAGGTCCGCCGGTACATTGATGGAATTCAGAATGTTGTCCAGGCGAACATCAGCTGGAGGTGCGTACTTTCTCGTATTTGGCTGTGTAACATGGGAACACTCTGAAAGTCAAGCATCCGCTAAAATCTTGTTCGCCCATATCTTAGCTTCCGCTCAGAGCGATACCTTGGCAAACATGCCCTTGAAGTGCGACGCACCCGTAAGATTGATGTTATGACGACTCCTCCTTACTTGAGGATTATGGGAGCCAAACTCTGCTTACTAAAGTGGCCATATGTTCCACCAACTAGTAAGTTCCATCAACTAGATAATTATTGAGATACCACTGATGAACAACCAGCGCAGAGTACAAATTCGAAGTAAGATGATTGCTTCGAGGCAGAGCAGGCGGGTAAACTTGTTTTCAACGTTCCATAGTTGTACGTAAAAAGAAATTGTGGTTGAAATCGTTAAAGACTCGTACAATGATTTATGCAAAGCATAAGAAGCAATTTACACTTGCTAACAGTGTCTTAATTACTGTCATATTAGATCTATGCACACTCGGATAAGGTAAAACAGAGAGCCACCTGACTTACAGGATACGGTCGGCTTATAGGTATGACAACCTCACCAGATAAGAACATGCGCAAAAAGGAAGAACACGAAGGGTATGACGTATTATACAAAGTGTATATGTCGTATGTAGAAGCAAAAAGAAGGGCAAAAACATACAACAGCGGGGATTCGCTACTAGTCACCCACCTAACTACTAATCCGCTAGTACACTGCTTGTATAGAGCTAAGCGGACGGGAAGCCTAGCTTTTACTTATGCGACTGTTACAAAGTCTATTATCTTTCCTATATCTAGTAACGTAGTTTATAAGCGAGTGACGCACCTAAGCGAGTGACGCACTTTTGCTAAGACCTCACTAAACTCTAATTAAGTTATAACGCCTTAACGTAACAGCGTGAAAATAATCTTAAACAAAGTAGATATATAGCTTATAATACAGGCTATCTAAAGAGACGCGTTACTAATAACGCAACGCGCTAAAGCTATCTATAGCGTCTCTAAAATAACACTATAAAAGTAACTTGCTAAGACGCCTTAATAACGTAATTGCGCGCTTAACTTAATAGCTCTTTAAGAATCTAAAGAGATAGTAATTATTAAATATATTCTTAAGTGTTAGGCCTAGCTGATGATATATACTATCCTGCACTATAATTAGTAGTTCACTAATTATACGTACCTTTTTTAGTTGCATAGTGTCACAAGACGCTACGAGCACGTGGTTTAAGAGCTTGCTAGAAGCGTTAACTGTAGCTACGTACGATATCTAGTGTAATACAAGACGTTGCGTAAGGAAACAGAACTAGCATGTACAGGCGGTGAAAAGTTATTAACGAGGGGCCGTGCGCGTAGCGCTTAGCTTAGCTAGCCAATTAGCAGAATCCGGGTGCTTGGCAGAGCACCCAGATTCTGTAGCGCGTTTGGTGTCAAGGGAACTACGGTGGTTACCGTGACACATAGCGTAGTAGTGCAGGGCTGCGTTCTAACAGCTTTATAATAGGCGTAATATTAACTAGCTTAGTAGTTATAGTAGTAGACTATTAAAGACAGCTAAAAACTATTTAGTAAGGCAACTAGAAGTAGGTTACAGCTATCTAGAGTATAAACGTGACAGAGTAGGCAATTCTACTTTTTATTATCTTCTAAGGCAAATACTACCTTTCTGCCTAGTATAAAGAGCTTCGCCCTAATAGCAGACGTCTTTATGCTTGAGGTAAATCGATCTAAGAAGCTCGTTCAGCCTAATTAGACTGTTATGCTTCTAGGTGCATAAACGTTGAGTGCCTATGCTTGCGAGTTCTCTCATCTAAAGGATCTATATTGTAGAATTATCAAGAAGTATTTAAAAGTTGTAGTTAGCTTACGCTGATTTATATTCTCACGAAGCTGTAGGATGAGGTAGATAAAGAGAAAAGTAACTCTAGTTTAGTATTATTACTCAAAGAAAGAGTAAATATAACTTCTAGGCCTATCAAGCTCTTTCTAAAGTAGCCTGTTCGGTAAGGCGAAAGTCACATCGAAGAAACGATCACGGACGCAAATGTTAGAAGCCAGCTTCTTTCGTCGATGCCACTAATATTCAGAAAAAGCTAGGGCAGATGGTATCACAGCAGCTATATGGAAGAGTACGTGTAAAGACGTTGCATATAGCTGTCGCATTTAGTCTATCTAAAACCCCTTCTACGCATTGCTAATTACCGCATCGCAAAACGCTGAAGATGATCACACTAGGTAGTCTGCTCTAAACTAGGTACACTGAGCAAAATCCCCGTTGTTTTTGTGGTAGATAGTGTAGCAGTACGTGAAGGTGCCATCGTTCTTACGAGCCAAGACGATCTGCAGCACTGTAAGTCGAAGAAATAGGGTAGGAATCGAATTACTTACTCGATCTGGTCCTGGGGTAGAGCCTTCTCCGAACAGGACTTTAGTGCGCAAGATGGGAAACTCATTTCGTTCGTAAGTGTCGCCCGTCATGCAGTCGCGCGGCAAGGCAATGTTCTGGAAATTGCCGTAGTAAGCAGGGTATTCCTTGCCTAGACGTACATAGTCAGTCATTGTGTTTTCATAAAGTCTCATGGTCTACTTAGGGACATACCATATTTGCCCTTAGCCTTGTCAGGTGGAGGTAGCAACAGGGAGACGGCAGTACTGTAGGCCTCTTCAAGCTCCCTGGTTGAGTTTGTCGTTTGGCTGTTACCATTTACTGCAGGACACGTTACCGAAACGACGTCTGCTCGTCCAACGAGCGTTTTGACGTCCGGTTTCAGGGGCAGCGGATTCGCGACCGCAAGTGTGGCGAAGGAAGCAAAGAGAGCAAAGGAGACCTTCATAATTGCAATGGAAGGAGTTGATGCCTCTTGGGGCTTTGAGGACAACTTATTGAACAAGCGGCGCAGCGCTTAAATACCTGAAAACCTTGGAACTCTACGTATGGCAATTCAACATTCGCTGCCAAGGTCCATGAATATGCACCGTTCCTTAGCAATACTCAAGGTCCTTCAAATATACGTAGGTATCCACAGTCCTTCTCGCATCTGTCAGTATAGCTCTTCTTGCATGGATGTCCTTTGGCTGACATAGGTATAGCTCACCTGCAAAGCTTCCATGGCGGATGTCCTTCAGCCGATCCTGACCCAAATGGGCGACACTCGCTTCACACGGGACTCGGAAGAAGCTGATGCTGCTTCCGCTTCCGAATTAACCTCGGAAAATCTTATGCCCAATCGACAAGTTCGAGTACAGCTAGTCTGATCACACAGTCCTGTCGTGATCTTCTGCAATCTTTGGGTATTGCTTTCCTCCCAATCTTGCAAGGTCGCCTCTCTATTCTTGTCTGGTAGATCCTGACACTTTTGAGGCCGACCGCGCTATGAGACCAATGTAGTTCGTGATGCGGGCAGCATTTCCACTGATTCTGCATTTTGGTTCCTTTCCCGTATGAGCTTCTCACACACTCTTGCTATGTAGCTCCGGAAGAACGGAGAAATATACATATGTGTTGGGCAAGACACAAAGGCTGCAGACTACTAAGAGAAACTTTACATGATGCTCAAGCGTACGAAGGCCGTCTAAAGAGCCGATATTACTATCTCTCGAGGGCAGACTACCTAGGCGCCTTAAGACTTTCTCCATCTTGCGCAGCGATCAACCTCTCGAGAACTGCCGTAGCCTCAATCGTAGCTTCCACAGCCTTTTGACCCGAAAGTCTTCCAGAATCCCTAATGTTTTGAAACCAGTCTTTCCAGAACCGCAGTCGTTTGACATCCACTGTATTGGTACCGCCCTCAGCCTCCCATAGACTACCAGAAGTATAGTTGTATTTAGTAGAAGGCGACCCTGCAGCTACCAGTTGTTCGCCCGCAATGATCAGCCAAGCAGCTGCTGCGCGAACCGTAAGGTGTGACTCTTGATCGTAGTTTGTACCAGGACCATGTTCTAAGAAAGCGAAGGTTGCAAAGGCAAAGTCGACACAACTGTGTAGCGGAGATGCTTGCGGAGGGTCTTGTCGGGCTATCAGAGCGGCGAATGTATTGACGTTGGTGTACATGTCTTCGGCTTCGCAAGACGGTTGTTGTTGATTACCATCTCCAGTGCCAGAAACTGCGCGGAAATGAAGGGGCCCGTCATGGAGGTCGTCCCTAATACAAAGAGCAAAATCCAGTAGCCCAGACCATAACTCTCCTCCTGTTTGACAGGGCAGCTTAATTCTTTGCCCTGGTTGAACTACAACAGAACCTTCTTCGAACACCATCGGTTTGTCTGTATCGTTGTAGACGTCGGGGAGACTTGCCAGTTCAACTGTGAGATCTGCCAAGATCTGGAGGTGTTTCCGGGATGAAAGCTCGCGTGCGGCTGTCAACAAAACCAGGAGTACGTCGCCATAGGCGACAGCAATGTCGTAGCAGGTATCATTATCTGGTACTGAAAGCACCCAGTTGTTGATCTGCTTTGCTGCCGTTCTCGCAGAGTCCTTTCCATCTAATATATCGGTATAGATTTGTAGCAAGGCTAGGTGGGAGGGCGCAGGCTGTGGGAATTCCTCAAATTTAGCAGAGGGGTCCACTTGTCGTTGGCGTACTTCCCGGAATATCGCAAGTTGCTGGAATTGTTTATTTTTCCACTCCTCAGTCATTGTTGTCGTGTAGCTTCGATCAGCCAGCAGCCTCTTTGGGAAGAAAGCGATTGGCAGGGTTGCAAAATTATTGTCAGTAAGGGTAAATGGCAGATAATTGCTCATACCTTCTACAAACGCCACTTTCGCAACAACGTCATCGGTGGTCAAAACGGGCGAAAAGGCTTTGAGAGCTTGCCACAGCTTGGCACCTAAACTTGGCGTCAGCGTTTAGGTTACTAAGAACTTGCAGGACCGGGGTAGTGCATAGTCGATCTGTCTGATAGTGGGCGAACTGACGCCCAACTGTGTCGCGGCTATGCGACCGATCGCAAACCAGAGACCATCGCTTCGTTCGCGGGTACGGCGGCCCCACCCTTGCTGGCAGTGATCACTGTTCAAGGTAACCATGACGGTGATGTAGAGATATCCCACATCATGCGTGTACAACGCGTCGGGGGCCTTACAGATATCCCCAATACCCGTAACAGAAGCGGGGGCTTTTCCTGTGCTGATAGCCGTAAATCCTTCTCAGCAACATAATAGCGCCCGTGTGGGTGGAGATAGCAGGTCCCGTACACTGCATATACTATAACTATAATATATTTAGCTTTACAAAACTCTAAAAATTTAGGCGTAAAGTAGCTAGCGTGCCTATTAAAGATTAGAAGCTACTATTAATAATAAGCTTTAGTGATGTCAGCCCGTACTGCATCGTTGCAGGTAGGATCTATCAGCGTGAAAGATCCCCACCTTCTGTGATATATTCGTGCGCCCTACTTACAGAACATAGTAAACAACTCTATGGGAGTCTGATAAGCTCGGCAGTGTCATTTTCAAACAAGAAGAATGGTGTTCATGGACCCCAATATGGCAGCATGTCTCAACGTTTACCTGGGCGATTAGGTAACAGTGGCCTAACAGTACCATACGGCGCGGAGGGGGTTTTGGGTCACATAGATGCCGATATATTAAGGTTAAACAGCGCACAAATACTGCGTTAGCTTGTTAATACTGTACAGACACTCTGTTAACACCACCACAACACTATGTTAGGTGCAATATAGCGACATCTATGTGACCAAAACAACCCTCCGCGCGTCTTAGGTAAGACGCGTGTGAGTAGAGCGCAGAATACCGAGATTAGTACCATAGTAAATTCCATTCTTCAACTTAGCTAGCTTTCATCAAATTAAACCTATCCACACCTGAACAAGGTAAAACATAGCCATCCTCCAATAGAAACCCACCCGTCGTGAGTACTGCGCCAAACCCTCGGTACCCCAATACGCTATGCCGTCCTGGGAGATTGGTACAATGACGACCGTTTTTGCGGAGGGTTTGTACCACGGGACATATTTGCCATTAACCTGGAACTCTAACTTTCTTAAATACCAGCACTCATGTACCTTCCGTGCTCCGTACACAATTAAATTCATCACACCAATTTCAATATCGACATTATACACATTTGACTATGCTACAATCTAACCTTCAATATCGCTGCATAGGAAGGGGCTTTTGTGGTAGTGTCTGGACTCCTGAAAACGCCCAAAACAATGACGACGGGCAAGTTGCCATCAAGCGCGAAGATGGCGGACCTGGTAGATCAGTCACAAATGATTACAACATGCATCTTCGAGTTCTCCAGAGCGCAACCCAACAGCCACCATTGATGCCTCTTTCAATTCCTTACTGCCACAATCTTGTCCAAACCGACGATGCCTGGTGGCTATCAAACCTACATCAATTCCCTTCTGGCTACACTGCTTGTAGAGCGCTCATCTCGGAACGAATCCCTAAGATCCCAAGGTCTATCAGCAACAAGATTGTAGATCTCTTCTGCGCTGGCAACGCTCAATTATCCACTTTCGTGAAAGGCAACCCAGACGATGACGCATGTCTTATTCGACCATATTTGGGACGTCGACGACGGCATAGACAAGAGGGAAAAAGCGAATCACGCTTCCAGCGCTTCAGTCTGCGGAACTTTCCTTTACACATCGATCAAATGGAAGCCTTAGATCTGTGTGCTGGATTATATGCAGAGACTATGGCAGAGGCTCTCGCACTGATGCACTGGGGTGCGGAAATTGATGCGAACGACGTCGAATTCGTGCTAGCTCCACCGCGAAGCAAGCATACACAGTCAATGGCTTTTCAGTCTGACTATCTGGGTACCTACTGTATGTGGATCCTTGATTTTGACTGCTGTAGGCCTATGCGGATGGACGCAGAGGGAGTTGAGCAGGCCTGCGCAGCATTTTTCAGGAATGATCCCTTTTATCCAAGGCCGGGGACTGGAGAGACAGCTGATGAGGAGCTGTGGGTTGTTTTCAAACAAAGATTCCTTAAGTCTAGTTACAGGTTTCTAGGCGGAGCAAGACAGCATATATGGTATCTTGCAGACAGGCTGATGCATAGAATTGAAGAGGAGGCGCGGTCAAGATCAAGGGATAGAGACTCTAGATCTTTTCAATGAATGAATCATCAACCATGTCCAGAATTTCGTTACAAAGTCGTTTCCTGAGCCGCTACCTTGAATCGGTCTAGGAGATTCTACTCAGCTGCTGGATCACACAGGCGGTCACTTGCGCCTTGATCTCGAAGTCAATTCGTATCAAGGAGAACACAATGCTACACTTTTCACACTTTTCGTAAAAAAAGATGAGTCGGAGGTAGCCTGCTAAGCGATCGTGAGGCGCAACATGTGAGGCACTAAGACTGCACGAAATTTGTTATTCATCGCCAGCTGCGAAACTTCCACTGGCTAACTAATAACATAGAGTACTCCATATAGACAGGCTATCTCAACTCCAGCCAAACATGAACTAACTCGCCATCTAAGCATGTTCAAGCTCGAAAATAACGGAAAGAGACGCAGTCTCTATTAGATGCTGCTTGACACAGCGCCAGCCCCCTTCGGCGAAGACGCCCTCCCAATCCTCCATTGTCGAGATATACGTATCCATCAGCGCATGACCAAATTCAAACTTGAGAGTGAAGCTGGGAACACTTTCCTCGGTAACTGCGTACTTGGAGAGCCCTGTCTGATTCAGGAGGATCCGGACAGTGTCGCCCAGCAAAAAGCGGCGAGCTTTGGGAAAGGCCGACCGCAAACGTTGGAGAGAGGCAATACAATTCTCCCTTGGCCAGAAGTCGTGTCCCATCAGAAATCATGTCAATAGGTCTATATCAGCGAACTCTTCGCGATATTCCAGATTGGTGGCGTCACCCAAGGTGAACGACAGTCAATCCCCGAAGCCGCGTGTCACCGCATCGTTTGCAGACTTCTGCAGCGCAGGAGCAGCGACATCAATACCGAGACCTTTGGTGTTAGGGTAACGGTTCAGGATTTCCATCAAGCGTTCACCGCTGCCGCTGCCCAGATCAACGACCTTGTGAAAACTGAAATCAAGCTGCTTCATCGCTGTCCAGAATATGGGATCGAAATGCACCGTGTTGATGTCCTTGCAGGCGTATCCGATAGCAACACTATCCCGTGTGTAGTAACCTCCAGTCCGATTCTCCTTGCGAAGGACGTACTGCATACGTGCAAACAGTGTACCTGAGCTGAGAGCAAGCCAGTGGAAGACGGACTTCTGCGTATAGGCCTCGTCGAACAATCTGCCCGTCTGGAAAATGTCTCCTTCATGCTGGAGTATGCCGAAAACAGCCAACGAAACCGCCAACCCCTGAGTGGATTTCAGGTCCAGGCTCTGCTTAGTTGCGAACTCGCATATGTGGACGTATTCGTGCTGGCGCAGCTCTTCGAACAGATCAACTTCCCACGCAGCACCAATTGCAGCGGCCGCGATGTATGAGTTGTAGATGTTGGCCACGGCGCGCTGCGTGTCGGCATTATCGGCTTTGGAGATCATGTTGATCACTTGTAGAAGAGGGTATCTCTTGATGATTGAAATGGAGGAAGAGAAAGCTTAGTATATTGATTGAATCGTTGTATGAGCAGAAAAATGACGAGCTTATAAGCGCTTCTCATGTGATGTGTTTCAACACCCCTCAAGTTTCTTCATACATCCAACGACCGCATCAACCGCCCATTATGCAAGCATCAAATTCTGGAACTCCGCTGTCGATCTCCCTCCAGTGCTTACCAAAAGTCAGAGTCAGGCCCGGTTGACATACTTTACAAATACGAAGTGTTTCTGCTGCCCACGGTGCCACAAAATGCGGTATAAGGCCGCGCGTTGTTGAGTTGCAACTTTCCTGTGGATACAGGACATATTCAGCACCTGTATGCCCCTGCTACTGCTGAGCCTAATGATCTACAGCCGTCAGACCAATCATGCTCGACACCGATCAAAGCATCTCTGTCTCGAAGCATCCTTCTACTTCTTTCTGTTCTATAGCTTTCGTCATGGCGTGTGGCATCACTGCGCAAATCCAACTTTCGGTGACCGAGAAGCCCAGTCAATATAAACGGTTAAATAAATTCGTTCTCTAACTAAGCACTACTCTACGCATCATCTTATACGTAATGATCTATCAGCTTCGGAAAGCATCGTGATGCTTTCTTCGGTAAGCACTTGAATGAACTAGGTAAAAGGCATAGTCTGGAGTTGACCAGCAGTGAGATCTTCCCCGCAGAGGCGGCAATTTGCTGCCATACCAAGGATTGATACGAAGCACGTTATGGGGTAGTCTAATTTCAAGTGATGCATATAAGTTGTTATTAGTGTTGTCGTGTTTCCGAAAGTTGTCAATAGTAAGAACAAAGATCAAAGCTATCGCCAGACACGTCATCACAAACCACAACATGACCGAATTTCCCCCGACTCCCACTTCCACTGTCCCTTGGGAGAAGATGAATCTCAAATTTCAAGAAGGTATTTAAGTTCTACCGAGCTCAATCACAGCGACTAATCAGTATCTACCAATAGTCAACGGTCACATCGAAGCTACCCACTCCAAGAAGACGGGCGAATGGACGCCACTTATATTTGTCCCCAGTCCCCATGTGAAAATCCATGGAATGTCGCCTCCCCTTAACTATGGGCAGGAAGTCCTCGAAGGCCTAAAAGCCTTCCGCCACCCTGGCTCTCCTGGCTCAATCTCCCTTTTCCACCCTGATATGAACGCCCATCGCTTCCAACGGCCTGCCAGTGCACTAGACCTGCCAATCATGCCTGTGGACATGTTTCTTCAGGCTTGTCGCGCAGCCGTTGCGCTCAATGCCGAATTTGTCCCGCCTCATGGTTTTGGCGGAGCCATGTATGTGAGACCACAGCTATACGGGTCTAGTCCGCAGCTTGGACTCACGGCAACGGATCAGACGACCTTCTGTGTTTTTGTTGTCCCGACAGGAGTGCAAGAGAAAGCACAAGCAATGAAAGCTTTGATCGTTGATGACTTTGACTGCGCCGCGCCGCGAGGGACTGGTCATGTTAAGATTGGTGGAAATTATGCTCCTGTGATGCGGTGGGCAAAACAATCAAAAGCTGCCGGATATGGTGTGACGCTGCACCTAGACAGCGCACGACATGAAGACATCGATGAGTTTAGCACCAGTGCGTTCATAGGCGCCCGCTATGCTTCAGGTGCAGACAACGAGCCAGGCGACAAGGTGACGATTGTGGTGTCAGACTCGCCATATGTCATAGAGAGCGTGACTTGTGACACCGTTCAAAAGATTGCGCGAAGCTTTGGATGGACTGTAGAGAAGCGGGCTATATCATATAAGGAACTACCTAACTTTAGTGAAGTCATGGGTGCACACAACGAATGAAAGTACGCAACCGTCAAGTTAGACTAAACTTGTTGTTGTCCGCTGTCATTAGCATAAGCTAGATGGTAAGTGCAGCAAACCATCTACCTGCTGGTGGTACTTCCGTTCATATACTCAACCTCCGGAAATGTTGGACTGGGTATTTCTGACCACTCATTCTCACCCAACACAAAACCGAAAAATCTTCCTACAAGCGTCTTGACGATGTAATCCATCCTCGGGGCCCAGATCGTGTCTAATGAGGGTGTGATCGTCTTATTCCTTAGACCTTGCAGATCGACCCAGTCGCCCAGGTCGGCAAAGTTCTGGTGACTGCTGCCAGTGACATTAAGCCACTGGTACCATCCCGACTGGTTGGCAGAAAAAGGAGCCCACGAAGGATCAACGGTTGGAGTATGTTCCGCACCAGCCAGCATCAAGAATGGTTTTTTCACGTCAGAAAGGTCTACGAAGAGACCGTCGAAATTGATGCCGCCTAAGAGTGAAGGTTCGATAGCCAGGGCACCAGCTGCTGCCGCACCACCAAGCGAATGTCCAATAGCGAAGTAGTGCGTAGTATTGAACGGGGCGTTAGTCGATTTGACATAGGTGGGGAAAAGTTCTCTGATTGTCGCAATAGTATCGGAAACGCGCATGTTGTACACAGCTACTCCAAGTTCGTAGCTCCAAGTCTCTGTGATATCGATACCATAGATGCCTGGTGCACCATCGGGAAGCTGAAGATAAGGAGTCTCTCCTGGATGATCAAGCGCGATCACTGTATAGCCTTGGGAGGCAAGCTCGGAATTCAATGCGTTATACATGATTGCGTTCTCGCCACCGCCTGGGGAGAAGATGACGGTTGGCTTCTGCCCTACACCAAGATCTGTCATATCGAGAGGCACAGCATCGTATACGTTCCAGGTTGTGAAGCTTTGGAGCAAATGATTCGGGTACTGAAGGGCATCGCCCCAGAGGTCTGCGGTAGTGGGATCAAGGTAAGGACTCGTGTTATTTCCAGGTATCGGAATAGTCAAGGTCGGGTAGTAAAATGTCGCTAGCAGAATTGACGAAGCGTTCGCTGGAGCCACGGGATCATTTGGTGTGGTTTTGTTGAATACATGCTGTTTATACCCTACGTGATACGGTCCTGTTGGTGGAGGAAACGACACGGCGGAGACTACTTCGCAGACCAGGGACAGAAAAATCAACAGCATCTTGAGTTGAGAGTAACAAAACGACCTCGGGAGGATCGGAACCCTGAGAACTTCTTATCATTCATCAGTTTGGCCCCCAATTATGGCGTCATACTTGATCGGATGTCCATCCTATTCCGGCTCTGGGCGAGCCAGCGCTATCGCGACTGTGCTCTAGTCAAGTGTTGTATGTGTACGAACTGGCTGGTTCCCATGCCATGTTGTCCAGACCGGCGTACAATACGAAAGCTAACCCGTTAGCGATCTTTATGCATTCCCAAGACTGTCAAGCATATAACTATGTTTTTTGGAATGATGCATCTAAGGAGCGAGTCGAACATGAGTGGCACCGACCCACGTTCTACGTGTAGAATGATAATCATAGTCTCTAGGATGGAAGGTTCCGTCATATTGGCGTGGTGACGGAGCCATGCGGCAGAGTCCATGGAAGATCTTGGAACATACAATGATTGTCACCTCAAGGGGTGTCTTTGGACGATGACTGGTGTTTGTTGGCTAGAGGGAAGGTCGCGACGCGCCAAGAATGTCATAAGATGAGGCTATTCGGAACAACCCCGGCCCCACGGACCGAGCTCAACATCATCGCGTCCAGCACTCTGACTTTGATCAACAAAGTTGTATCACCAAACCACACCCACGTATCCTGCGAATCGGCTCCATCAACAGACGCCTAGTAATCACCTTTGCATATCTAGACACAGCACCACGAGGCGCAAAGATGCCGCAACCACGTATGCACTCCCTTCGCGCTCAGGCGCGTCGCAATCCACATGCCCAGTGGCCAGTCAACTAACTGCTTGCCCCAGCATCCCGCGCCGTCTCCTCTAAAGACCTTCCTCCCTCGGTTGAAAGCGCCTACTACAGGAAATGTATCGACCTCCGCCGCCGCATAACCGACATCGAAGAGAACAATGACGGCACGCGCCTGCGCATCACACGCCTGAACCGCGGAATTCAGAAGATGCGTCTCGAGCGCGCATTTCTTCTTGAGCAGCTCAACAAACACATGGAGTACAACGTCGACGACAGCGATCGCAGCAGCAGCCCACCGCCCACTCCAACAGACAAGCCATTGAGAAGCAAAAGGAGCCACAATAGGAAGGGCACACCTCCCCTTGGCGGCAGTGCTGAGGGAGGAGCGGGTGAGAGGACAGCCATGAGTGGGGAGGGTAGACTGGGTCTAGGAGCCCTATCGCATGGCATGAACCCCATGAGTAGTGCTCAGAGTACTCCGGACCCATCAGGGCGTCCCCAGAACAGCTACTTCGGTACCATCGGTGCTCCCACGGCGACAAGTCCACACACCGGTGCAAACGGCGCACCTCCCACACTTCCCCCCCTTCACTCGCTCCCACCACTGCAGCCACAGCAGCAGCAGCAGCAGCCAGCACCCGCCCAGCGCGCATATTTTGACCCAGCCTATGACGAGCAACGGCCCACACCCGCTAGCAATGAGGAGGCAGCCGCCCGTCCACGCGCGTACTCAGGTGCTGCCCAGCAACCCCCGACGACCGATTCTGCGCCTCCCCCGCCGCAGAACGGCGACACCGAGATGACTGACGTAAGCTTCACAGCCGTTAACCGCTAGGATGATTATAGCCTGGGTAGTGGATGGCGTCGATTGTAATAACGCTGGAAAGTTGGCAAGGAAAACACCGAAGTGATAGCAAGGCGTTAGGGCACATTTGAGCTTTTGTACAGACTTTCGGTATCTGTATGCAACATTTGTAATTGTTGTTTCTTTCCCGGGTTCAGGGGATTGTGTATTAGTACAGGTGTCTACCGACCAAAATTGTGGGCACAAAGCAGGGCGAGATTTCCATGCATACTTCATTAACAAAGCTCGCTATGGTGATCATGTCCGTGTTTGTGTGAATGTATCATTCGAACCTGGAGCAGTATGGTTCGTCGGGCAGAGCAAGTTGGGAAGATTGTTTGGGTTCAGTATCATCTGTAATGTGGAGCCTGTGTCAAGAACATCGACGACATCTGTTGAAACCTTGCGATCTGCATGGCAACGGGCAAAGCGTTCCACACGAAGATTCTTCCGGTGTAACATTTGCTGCACGCAATCATAAGTCACAGACGCCGTGGCCATGCCCTGATTTTGTTCCGACTCGCTCCTCATACCTCACTACTCATGTGTAGACCTATTCCTCATCCTCATCCTTGTAGTGAACACCTTTGGCCAACTCACACGGATCAGGTGCATAGCCGATGCTGCAGTGCTCCCAGTCGTCGTTGTCCATGAGCTCGCGCTTGAAATTGAGGGCGTGGTAGATGTTCGAGAAGCGGAACTCCACATACGAATGCTATAGCGATGATGTTAGCATTGATCAAGATAATCAGTAAGTATTACTTACACCACGTGCAGTCTTTCCGCTCTTGATGCGGTCAACATCGCGCTTGTTGACGCTCCTACCTCGAGCCAGCTTCATGAGTATTGCATCGCTATCTTCGTCTGCACCAATAGCCCGAACACAACGTGATGCGTCGCCATCAACACAGTTACGGATGACGTCGTTGATGGAGTTTGGACCCTCGGCCTTCTCCACGAACACAACCGCCTTCTTGATGTCGCCGACGATTTCGATGCCATTCGCAGTCGCCTTGTGATACTTCTCGCATGCTTCAGGTGTGAGGAACTTGACGAGGGCATTGGAAGAACCCGGTTCTGGCAAGGAGATAGACTCGAGTTTGCCACCCCATACAAGGGCTTGCAACTGGTTGATGCTGGTGATGCCTGCAACCCCTTTTAGAATACAGGTGCGATGAGCAGCCGCTACATTTTGTCAGTTTCAGCCTGATCGTGCATATAGGCACAGACTTACGATTCTCCCGCTTCTCCTGGGTCGGCCATCCTTCCATGCCGTTTGTCGGATCCTTAGAAATAGGCTTGGTGTTTTCAGTACTCGATGCAACAGGGAATGCTGCCTTGGTCGGGGCGTTAACGATCGCGGTGGCGGGTGGTTCTGGCTTGGGTAGGATGTTGTGCATGGCCGCAACGATACCCGATACTTCAGCGAGTGTCTCTAGAGATAAGTGACCTTCTTCGACAAGCTTGGCACAAAGTCTGAGGAAATCGCCATTCGCATCCTTGAGCGTCTGTTTGATAGATTCGGGTGTACGAGGTTTCTCTGGGCGCTTCTTCAATACTTTGTTGATGTAGTTGGCAATAGCGAAGGCTAGACGTGCCTTGATGATCTCGTTCTTTTCGACGTCGGTTTTGACCTCTGGCATATACGAGCCACGCAACTTCCTTGACATGGCCTTAATGAGACTTGCCGTGTTTCCATTGACGTCTGGTATAGCCTGAATGTAGTCGCTAGCTTTACGCATATACGCATTCTCCAGTTCTTCTTGTGACACGACCGCAACCTTGATGCCATCGATCCCCTTGTGTTCCGCCTTCTCGGCTTCTGCTCTAACGATCTTCGTGTTGTCTGCCTTTGATTCCGCAAGACGATCACCAAACGAGAACTTGGCTTGCTCAGGCCTTACTGAGGTAGTGCCGATGGGATTGCGGGGGGTCAGGACAGTCTTGCTGTTTAGGCGAGCATAGAGTGCATCCATGGCAGACTCTTCGAAGGCATCGCTCGTGAGATTTGGATCCTCCTTCTGTGGCGCGGCTGCGTCTGATTTAGTGGTAGCTGCGGAGGACGAGACGGTACTCTGTTCAACTGAGGATGACTTTGGCGCAACAGTGGTTCTAGCATATGCTGGTCTACACGCACGCATGTCAGTAGGGCTCGAACGATTATGTAGTAGTTCGTACCCGTCAGAAACCTTCAGCTCCACTTTGGCTAGACCTGCATTAGGTGAGGATGCCGTTGGCAGGGTAAGAGCTGCGGGTCGCGAGGCGGTACCAGGTACGGGTCCCGCAGCGCCGACCATCTTGACGGCGTTCTTCTTGAGCTTGATACTTCCCAGGTTGGCTGCAGGTTGAACGGCGAGGTTACTGCGTGCATCTCCAAAAGCCCAATCAGATGGCGCTGCTGAGGACGGAGTCATATGCCTAGAGCGGTCCATAGTTTCGGGCAACGGAGACAGTGGAGGTGAACCCTTGTACCGAGCGATTTCCTTGTGCGCGGGTGATGGAGGAGGCGACAGAAGGGAAGATGAGGTCGGTATAGATTCGCACGCACTAGAAATTTTACTGCTCTTATTGGAGTTGGTATTGGTGTGGGTGGAAGTGGAGGTTGCTGGGCAAAAGTTAGTCGAGCAAAGTGCGTGAGCAGGTAAGGGAATTGGCACGCACTAGCAATTCGCCTGTCCACTGTTATCTTCGCAATTCCCTCTATGCAGGCATCGAGGCAAGCTTGGTACAGTTTGTCTTCGCTATTTCGTATACGAGAACGTGGCGGAGTCTTACCAGGCATTAGACTATGGCATGCATATAGGCAAGAGTTGAGGTGAGGTCGGATCATTCAGGGCAGGAAAGTAAACAGTCCAGGGTGTCTCAATGCGGTTGCCGTTCCCGGTGTTAGCCTGTGGCCAATGAGACGACAGCGGTGAAGACGAGAAACTCGAAAAGCAGGATGAGCGTTTGTCTTCCATGATACCCAATGTAGAATTCGGCATTGAGATAGTTCTCAGCCGCTACGATGTTTCTTTCGGATCTTTGCATGAAATAGGAAACGATTGTTAGTGGCACTCATAGAGACTAGAATGTGCTATACCTAAACCGAGTCCCGCGATAATAGACTCGTGCAGCATCTGCTTCATAACAATTTTTGAGTTGAGCATGAAGGCAAGGTTGGTTTCATAAACATGAAGACCTACGACAAAGCTTAGCATGAACATGATGAGATGCCAAAGTAGTAGTTGACATAAGAGCGCACACACCACCCATGCACATATTGATATAGCAATGACAGGTAGAAAACTCTTGCTAGGTATGATGAAATAGAAGAGCATTCATGAGTTAAGACTGAGCTGAGACAACGGCAAGACTGTGCTCTAGCAGGCGCAGGCGATGACAGAAATAGATACGAGCTCGGAAGAAGAACGAATCCCACGTACGATGGCACTGTTCACCTTATTCCGCCCGCCAATCCAGCACGGAAGTGAGGATATACACCATTTACGCGTTCGGTGTGCCAGATGTGGAGGCCTAGTCATGTCTATCTACTCATGTATCCCTGTTGAAATACAAATATAGAGAGACTTTGCGGCTTCCACGAGTTTAGGTAGAAAAGATAAGGGAAAAAGAAAAAGGATTCAGTGATGAGACGACGTCGTCGTGTTACGAAATTCATCACACTCATCTAACAATCCACACTGACCATATGTCATTCAACAGTTGATTAGATAAAAGGTATCCAAACGCGAGTTCGTGCCCTGTACGCCTCGTACTCATTGCCGAAGAATTTGATTAGAAACCTTTCTTCATCTGTATTGAGTGAGCCACCATGCTTGCGCGACGAAGAGAAGGGACTTACGAGTAATCCGCTTCATGAAGAAGTACCATAACACACCGGTAAATCCAAAGAAGCAGACAGTATTGCCAAGCATGATCTGTGTCCCAATGCCCCACCAGAAGAAGCCAAAATATGAAGGGTGACGGAAGTAGCGATAGACACCATGAGTTACCAACTCATGTCCGTCATTCTTACGCGACTGAACTTGGTGGTTGAAGTTGGTGCCTGCTTGCATCATAGCCGTACTACGAACAGCTTGTCCCACCGCAATCATCGCTATGCCCAATGCGATCAACCACGGTGGGTGGATCGTTGATTGATAACCAGGAAAAAGATACGACGTTACAAGCGTCTCAACGAAGGCCACCGCGTGGGCTTGTCGGTATTGGTCGCCATTTGTGAGTAGAAAGGAATCGATGTATGCGATCGGGGTGTTGTAGGCGGCTGTCGTGTAGAACTCGAGGAAGTGGAAAAGAGAGAGCGTGCTGAGGAACAAAAACGGTCGCCATAGATGGCTGCCGTTGTATGCGAGCAGAACAGTGCCGAACAGACCAAAAGCCAGAGCGCATCCTAGGCAGAAAGCACGCACAGCGATGCCCGAAAGCGAGCGCTTGCCGTGACGGAAGAACTCGGGCGCAATAGCATTCTGGGGTTTGGTCTGGATGTTCGATGCTTCTCTAGCGCGCAGCTCCTGATCAAGCTCTGGAGTCCATGTCCCGTTCTCGCTCGGTCGGTTCGTGGGTAGGGAGATATCGATACCGGAGGAGAGCGAGCCGTTCGAAGACATGGCAATCGTGGATAGGTAGATATCGGTTATGCAGGGACTCTGGCGTCGAATAACAAGACGAGCGAAGAACCTCAAGGCATGTTTCTAAAGGCTTGCAACGGGACCTAAATACGCGACCAACATCCAGCCGTGGGGCTTGTGAGGAAGTTGAGCTAAACAATAGTAAGAGGTGGGCGACTCAGTCACTTTTGCCTTGGCTCCTGCGCGTCCCGTCTTGCCAGGTGGGACCTCGGAGTCAGCCGATGAGATCATCGCGCTAGTCCGAGCGTGCCTTAGTGTCGTGATGCCTGGCATTCGCAACTTCTACTTCGACATGTGTTTGTTTATCCACATCAGCTTCATAGCCATCACACCAGCTCCAAGATCAAGTGCTAGATCCTCATGATTCCAGAGGCAAACATGGAGATTTCGGAGAACAAGCAGCGCATGGCCCGCGGCGAACTCTACCATGCCTTCACGCCTGAGCTCACAGCAGAGCGTGCACGAAGCAGACAAGCCTGCACTCGCTATAACAATGCTGGGGATGTATCACGGCGGAAACTGACTGAGCTTTTCCGAGAGTATGTGCAACTCTTTGATTGCTCTTCAGCAGGCTTCTTCTTACACTCCAACTAGCATCATCCAAGACAAAACCCCTCTTCCTCCAATGGCATCTTCAGAAGACGAGGATGCCAAGCTGTTCGAGAATGATCCTTGGGTCGAACCGCCAGTTATCATGGACTATGGATATAATGTCCGCCTAGGCAACAACGTTTTTATCAACTTTAACGCCGTCTTCCTTGACACCTGCCTAACTACCGTTGGTTCACGCACGCTCGTTGGACCGAACGTCCACTTCTACTCGGCTACTCATCCTCTCGACCCAGCTGTCCGCAACGGCACTAGGGGGCCTGAAATGGGCAAGGAAATACATATCGGAGAGGATTGCTGGATTGGTGGCAATGTTTGCATACTGCCTGGCGTCGTGATAGGCAAAGGCAGTGTGGTCGGCGCTGGAAGTGTCGTTACGAAGAGCGTGCCAGATTTCACTGTTGTCGCTGGTAACCCAGCTAAATTCATCCGAAAGATCGAAACTGAGATGGACGCCGAACAGAAGAACATGAAATTAGGTGAGCAGAACAATATGGAGAGCTAACCTATGCATTAGTCGCGTGTGCAACAAGTCACTTGCTCGTCACGAGGAGCAGTTTCATATATTGCACTCAGCCTATCCGGTTCGTACTCGGACTGTGAGCTACATTTGGCATGACATTGTAAGAAGAAAAAAAGTCACAGTCGCATAAAACTTCCCATGTACCTCTGCCGTTTCTGCCACTGATACACCAGACGTTATTGCAGCGCGCTCTAGCGCGTTCTAGCGCGTCGTTCCGCTTCTCGGAGGCATTTCCAAAACGAAGCAGTCACTGAAAGCACGCCTCCGAATTATCTCCAAAGTTTGCAACGCGGGCAGGTCTTGGAAGGCTCCGATGCGATGTCTGTTGTCCTCTCAAGAGGATACTTGCAACACGTTGTTCGCATATGTACTTGCTTCCGCGCCCCAATAGATCGAGCACGATCAACCCGAAAGCTTAGCTATCCACTCCACCACTATGGTGCGCGATCAAGTCCTGAGAGTATGTGACAGCAACTCGGCAACCTGTGTCGATCTGGGACAAATGTGGGGCGTTTAGACTAAGATTCAACACAAGATCTGATGATCGTCCGCAAGCTTCGGGCGCCAAGACCGACGAAACCGGTTCCCAGACGCCGCCAAAACAATGACATCGGCTCGCCAAACACCAATGACTAATTCATCTTCCATGCACGACATGGCGCACCCTGCGAAATGCCCCGTTTGTGTTTGGGACTGGAGTTCGGCTTCGCCTGTTTCGAGGGTTTCGACAGTTTGGAGGCGCCTGATTCACCCTATGGCATACTTCGAAACTACCAGATCAAGCTATTCGTGTGCTACCTGACTGAATGCCAAGGGTTTAGGAGCTTTGAAGCTCCGTCCCCAGACTACTACGATGCATAAGCCTGCACACCATCATGCCTTGACGGCAAGGCCATCCGAAATGGTAACAGAGATGGTACAAATACCACAGCTCCCAACACCCAGAAAAACTTCATCGGACTGGTTCCTCACTCACTAAGGCTAATATCTTCTACTCTACATCTCCAGCATTTCTTACTCTCTTTCATATCCTTACTCATAATCTTATTCCATTCGACAGAACCAATCTCACAGTCAAAATGAAGTACATTCTCATCGCCTCTCTCCTCACCTCCGCGGCTTACGCTGCTCCTTTCGCCCAGGTCCAGGGCGGTAACGGCGGCAACGGCAACACTGCCGCTGCTGCAACTAACCAACAAACCGGAAACCAGGGCGGTCAAACCCAGGCTGGCAACCAGCAACAGCAGCAAGGCGCGCAGACAGGAAACCAGCAGCAGCAGCAACAGCAGGGTGCCACCAACACCCCTACTGGTCTCGGTGCCGGTATCCAGAATGGACAAACTCCCACTGCCAACGACCTCGCCACCGCCGTCTCCAACTGGATGGCCGACACTTCAATGGTCTCCAACTTCCTCAACACTGGAGCTAGCATCCAGAACAACGCCCAGTTCAAGCAGGCTGCTACAGTTGCCTTCAACGCAGAGGTCGATGAGCTGAACCACAAGGCCATCATCGATGCTGCCAACGGTCAGATGCCCAACGTCATTGCAGCCAACAGCACACTCGCTACTGGTGGTTCGTTCCAGGATGTCGTCGACAAGCTTCAGCAGATGTCTGTTCAGGGTATGGCTGCCGCTGGAAACATCGACTTGATCAACCAAAACCGCTGTGTCAACGTCCTCCCCAACATCGATGCTTACATGGCTTCTACTGGATCCACCTCCCAGGCGGTTCGCCCCACCGTCTGCGACCAGACCGGTGTTGCTGGTGGTGTTCAGGGAACTGGCGCTACTCAGCCCGGCGCCCCTGCAGGTAGCCCTGCTGCTGCCTTTGCCGCTGCTCAGGCTCTTGCTCAAGGAACTGGTAATGGCCTGGTTCAGAACACTGGCGCTGCTGGTGCCGCCACAGGCACTCAGGGAACTCAGGGAACTCAGGGAACTCAGGGTACTACTGGAGCTCAGGGCACTACTGGAGCTCAGGGCACTACTGGAACTCAGGGTACTCAAGGTACTCAAGGTGCTCAGGGAACTCAAGGTGCTCAGGGAACTCAAGGTGCTCAGGGAACTGCGGGAACTGCTACAGGTACCACCGGCACTGCAACCAACAACGGACAAACTCCTCAGCAAGCCGCTGGCATCACCCCTACCAACGGCCAAGCACCCCAAGGAACGACTGGTGTCCAAGCTCCTCAACAAGGCTCTCAGGGTACTACCGGACAGCAGACCCCTCAACAAGGTCAACAAACTGGCCAACAGCAGGGTCAGCAGGCTGGTCAGCAGACGCAACAGGGTCAACAGAACGGCCAGCAGACTCAGCAGAACGGCCAGCAGGCAGGCAATGGCGCCGCTGCCGGACAACAGACTCAAGGCCAGACTCAAAATGGTGCTAACCAGCAGCAACAGGCTGCTAACGGTGCCGCTGCTGGACAACAATCTCAGGGACAGAATGCGGGTCAGGCATCTGGCCGCAACGGCGGCAACGGAGCCAAGGGCGGCAACAACAACAACAACTAAGCACTGCGCTTACGAGTTCACGAAGAGAACGAGTCTAATGGCTTGCAAGGCGAGGGCGATGTGCTGGTCACTAGCCAATCAGTCTTTTCTGTATATAAAGATCAGGTCAGACGTCTAATGGTTGGAACATGTATTTAGTATTGTATGTAAGAGGAGATTTATTCGCTGGAAATGTAGATAAAGAAGGTATTAGCCTGCCGACTACATGTTTGCTACCATTTATTGAAGATGTGAGTCATGTGATGCAGAATGAATTCATGAAACACGATCTTTCGAACCCTGATCGATGACAAAACCAAAGCATACCCTGAATGTATACGCTGCCTAATACATATTCAGGCTGGGAAGCAAAACATCGCGAATACCTTGAGGATACTTTGAATGGAGTGTGGAGGCAACGCATGCTAGTAAACACTGATCAACGTATTCACAAATTACTGCTATAGAAGTGTGGACTTTGTCAACGATAGGATTCTATAGTCAGAATCGCACCGTGCTTCCTTCGCAATGCTCTTGTGTTTGGTTGTAAATCCCTAGAATTGAACCCAAGATGAGAGTGACGTGCGGCTCTGGAATCACTCTAGTGGATGGAACTAATCTGACAAAGACATGGGCATGAGTCTCAGTGTCCTTTGGAGAAAATTTCATGATGATATTTGACTGCTTCAATGTATACTATGAAGCACTATTGGCATGTCATACGCTATCTTGGCTACTACTGAGGCAACGGGGTAGCATCTTTATCGTCCATATGGTGCTTCCTCATGTCTGTCGTGAGCGGGACGTTCGTCCAGTGCCCAATGTCGGCTGGCTTGTCCACGAGCTTTACAAGGTCTCGAATTGCTACATTCATACTGGGCCTGTCGAGCTGGACTTCGAACGATGCGCGTAGCATTGGGTCGGTGGAGTATATGCAGTGGAAATCTCGGACGAGCTCGAGGGTGATCACGCTGCGGTGCATGATATCCATTGTCGAGGCGAGCTTCTCGGTCCAGACCCGAGCCCAATCTTCGCGGCTCATTAGTGTTCGCAGATCGACCATACCTTTGGCCAAGTTGAATATTGTGGTAATGAGATCACCGTTGATGCGCTTCTGCCAAAAGTAATCACGCTCGGAGTCCTTGCGAAAGAACAGTGGGATGAGTTTGATCATCTCGAGCTCACGGACGTTGGAGATTAGACCCAGGTTAGTAAAGCAGGACTGAGGAACTTCGTTTCGCTTCTGCTCGAAGAATATGGCTTTCTCGCCCGCGACGAACTTGTCAATCGACTTTGCAGTCTCGGAGGTCATAACTTCCTTGGCGTCGACGATGCCGGCCTCGTACATGTCTCGAATTTCATTTTGCAACTTGACGATGGCTTGTCGATAGCGATCACTGTCAGCAATTCGATTGGCGCGATGTTCTTCGCTCTCACCACCGACTTCAAAGTCGCACTGCCGAGCGCAGAGGTCCCAGTTCGAAATGGCCGTGCGGCAGGCATCGGCGCTGACCTCTCCCCGTACGTACTCGTACAGGAAGGAGCTCTTACCATAGAGCTCGTTCATGATTGCCTTCTGCATCTGTCTGTACTTGGCAAAGTCTGCAGTGTCGATTTCGAGAACTTCCTTGGCGAAGCCATCGGGCAGATGTTCGTAATGTACTGCGAGGATGTGAGCAATGCCCATAGCCTTTTCAGGCTTGTGTCTGCCTCCGCCGATCAGGGTCTTGTACTGGTCGTCGACGGTCGAGACCCTGTCTGGCGCGATGGTAGGCAGCTCGTTTTTGAGGATACATGGCTTGATCTGGGGGTATAGTGGAGGACACTCGATGAAAGCTCTAGGCATGATGATGATGATGATGATGATGATGATGGAAGAGCAGTTGCGAAGCTGTAACAGTATTTGTCAGTGGAGAGGTGGAGGATACACCCATGAAGACGCTGACTTTATATGGCGACAGATAATCGACTTTACCTAAGGTTTGCCCGCCCTTCTCTCACCTCGCCGTGTATACGCCTACAAAAGTATGTTAGGCAAAGATGACGTGACGCAGAGAACTGTCTCTTACCTGTGCCGCACATGTAGCTGTGTGAGGCATTGCAACAAATCTGAAGCACCTTCAAGGCACGGCGTCAAAGCCATGATGTGGTGGTGTGGAGTGGAATTTTGGGGTTGTGTTGGTGTTGTAAGAGCGTTGGCAGTGTGTTAGTGGAGTAACTCAGTTCTGGCAGACACTACACGGGCCCCGACACCCTCAACTTGGAGCCTTTCTTCACTGTTCACCCCTTCACATCTTCTCCTCATCGGTTTAGGCAGCCTTTCCCGATATCGGCCCACCTCATTACTCACCAGTGTCACATCTACTACATAGAACAGTCACATCACATCTCTTCTTTCCTACACCCACACGCACACACACACACACACACACACACACACACACATAATCTTACCAAAACAACTCAACATGGCCTCCAACCCGGACGTACCTCGAACCACAGCAATCACCGCTCTCGCTGACGGAGGCGGAGGAGGCGTGCTCGCCGCCCAGGCTGCCAAATAACCGGCATACTATGTCACGGTCAGTACATGACGTCCACTACACTTAATGAGTCTTTAAACCAAGTGTAGGTTATCCTGTACAAGGAGCATAAGCGTCTCCCCGGTTTGATTCAACAGGTGGAAGATGGGGGTTGCGTCGTCGTGATGAGGAACTGTACAGTGGCCCCTACTTTCACGTATGTCATGTCGCTGTTGCATTCGGAGTTCAAAATTGACAGGATTCATAGGTTCATCATGCCAAAGGGCGTTCGCAACCCTCTTGAAGAACTCGCGGCGGCAAAAGACTCTTACATGAAAATGATCATCAACAAGGTCAAGACTGTCAAGAAACAAGAGGTTGCAGAGCTTCCCCAGCTAGAGTAGCCAATTCTACAAGACGTTGGTGAAGAAGACTAGTAGTACCCGCCAAGGTGGCTCGGTAGAGCCTGCCTTGGCCTGATCGATGTTTGATGGATACAGTCGCAGCTGAAACATGGGCTAAGAACATCATTGCACAGGAGGATTTGTCCAAAGGTCGTAGATGCAAGCGACGGGAGGATAGGAATGAAACCGACTACTTCTTACCTATCTCCATTCTTTTGATCCGGAGAATATCCACTGTGCTCTGGGCTAACATGACAACCTTGCCCGAAAGCTACATGCGTTATTGCTACTCATCGTAATGTCATGTAGTTATGATCGACTATCAGCAGATCGATAACATCCTCTCATATATATGGATATAACTACCATGACGATCTCTTCAATGAGATGGAGCTACAAAGCTTAATCGATCTCGCCAAAACTGGGATAGTCCTATTGGCCTGAGGTTTTAAAACCTCAGGCATGAACATGTGGATACCTGATATCCCAGACGGCGTCTTGACTGTTGTGACCCGTTGATCTGGATCGTGTTTTGGGTGTGCTGTGGTCAGGACGTAGTTGCATTGGTTGTAGCGCAGGTGAAACCATGTATCAAACGTCATGTGCTGCAGGGGCTAGAAAGCTTAAAAGGAGGCCAAGACGCGAGGGTTCGAGACGATAGACGTGCGAGGCAGCTATAGTGTTGGCGACATATCAATTCATGTTTGCTTTCCCGACACATGCTGTCGGGTTGAGAGGCGTGGTAGGTGCGTCGCCGTCTCTCACCGACTCTGGATACGTGACACGTCGGCAAGGCGCGTGACGTACCGACACGGAGAGACGGGGGCCCTTTGCGGCAAGCAACATGAGGCTGCAGCGGGCCGATGAATACATGTACTTTTGCTGCTGGGTTGGGGCAGGGTGCAGATGCGCTGGCATGGTATGACGCCTCTTCCAAGTAATAGCGAGGCTCGCCAAGTGCATGGTTGTTGCATCGAGTCGCTGACCGCACGAGCTGAGCTAGCTAGACGGCAACCTCATAGCCAGGCAGCTAATGACGACGGCTCTTGACCAACAGTTTGCGACGAACCATGGCTGAGGCCGAGCGCGCTGGCGGAGTACAGGGCGATCTGGAGAAGGAACTGACGTGCTCGGTAAGTCGAGGTTCAAGTTTGTGGTGTTGGCGAGTGGGGTGTCGTCGCATCGACGGGTGCGTGGACGAGGATTTGCAGCTTCACGACTGTGGGCGAGTTCGAGAGCATGTTGAGATAAGAGACTGGGTCGCTCCTTCCGAGTCTCTCCAAGGTTCTTGGGGCCCGCTCAACGACGAGGATGCGCCTGCTAACTCGGCCATGTTCAGATCTGTACCGACCTCCTCTACCAGCCGCTCACCCTCCTCGACTGCCTTCACACCTTCTGCGGCGCCTGCCTGAAGGAATGGTTCGCCTTCCAAGCCTCGACCGCCACATCCATACACCCCTACACCTGCCCCTCCTGCCGCGCCTCGGTGCGCACCACCCAGCCCAATGCCACCGTCACCACGCTGCTTGATATATTCCTGAAGTCGAATCCCCAGAGAGGCAAGAGCGCCGAGGAGAAGACGGCAGACCGCAACAAGTACAAGCCGGGCGACAATGTGCTGCCCAAGCTCAGACGGCGCGATGAGCGCGATGACGTCGATCAGCGCATGCTCGAGGAGGCCCAGCAGCTGAGTCTGAGAGACGTGGGCATACCGGGCAGCAGCAGGACCAGGCTGGAACCCCCAAGGGAGCGCAGGCGGAGGGAGAGAAGCCGCGACACAAGTAGGGAGTCTCGTAGGGCCCGGGACGAAAGGCGCTCTACCAGCCAGAACCCGCCCGGCGCATCGCCATCCAGAGCCGTTATACCTCCCAGGGCCATCGAACACCAGTCCAGCCTGCGTTCTTTGCTGAGCGCCTCCGACCTCGACGCAGAAGACGTGGACGAGGACCTCGTGCGGCAGGTGCTGGAAGAGCTGGTGTCTGAAGGCGTGGATTTGAACCAGATTGGCACTGCACAGGAGGAAGAAATTACAGAGAGGATAGCCGAAGCTGTGCGACGACGTCAGGCGGAGCGACATGCAGAAAGACAGCGCGAGAGGAGAGAAAGGAGGGAGCGTCTGGCAAGAGAGGGCTTGATGAGCTCGTCATCTTCATCGCTGTTGCCTCAACCCATGCGAAGCCCTCTTACGCGCGACGAGGAAGCAGCACGCAGAAGAAGGCACGGCCGTTCGGAAAGCGGCGCGTCGACACCTCAGACGGCAGTAGGACCGCCCATATCTAGACCTGGTCTCATCGATGCCGCGAACCGAGGCGGACGAGCACCACGCCAGCGATCTTCAAGTCAGGGAAGCTCTCGATCGGCAAGAAGAGCAGAGCGTCCTACGCCTGTCTCCGCGACCTCCCAGAACAACAGTAGTGGCGAGCGGCAGTCGTCATCAGAACATGCGCGTCCAAGGCCACGCCGTCAGTCCGACAATCAGCAGAGAAGTAGGCTTGATGTCCGCGAACAGTTTCGCATCAGCCTACACGCCAACACCAGTGCCATCAATGTAGTCTCAAGCCCCAACTCACCCCAGAGCCTGGGCTTCGATCTACCCAACAGCGGCAGTCCGACAAGTTCTCTAGCTACAGTCGGTACTCCAGCTGTACCCCAATCTTCCTCCACCCCAGCCATAACCCCATTCCAGCCCCCTACATCTAGGCGTACTACAGATCCCAGCAGAGCCGTGTTGCCACGATCGTCCAACAGCAGCACTCCCCCGTTATTGTCACCTCCCCCCTTCCCTCGCTCCACTACCGATCCAACTGTGAGCGAGTCTCGATCAAGACAAGCTTCGGGCTCATCGTCGAGACAAGCTTCAGGCTCATCATTAGGTGCTCCTGTTCTGTACAACGAGCCGCACATAGCGTGCCAACGGTGTGGTAAGAATGACATACAGTACGAGCTTCACTACAACTGTGAACGTTGCGATGATGGAGAGTATGATATATGCCTCCGCTGCTACCGTCTCGGTAGAGGATGCAAGCATTGGTATGGTTTTGGTTGGACTGCCTGGCCGCGATACGAACGAGAAGCACCCGAAGGTGGCTATCCGCCAAATCATGAGCACCCCCATATCCTCGTTGGACATCGGTATCGCAGGCCTATGACTCCATTGACAGAATCTACAACGCCGCCACATGTGCTTATGAGCGAGGACAATCCCAGGGAAAGGGTGGAAATTGGAGTCTTCTGCGACATGTGCAAGGCATACGCCAATGCCTGCTACTGGAAGTGCGACTACTGCAACGAAGGCGACTGGGGCTATTGCAATGATTGCGTTAACCAAGGCCATCATTGCACGCATCCCCTTGTTCCTGTCGCTCGCAAGACAAGGGACTCGCAATCAATTACGGATACTACTCCATCCGCACCCTCGACGCCACGGCAAGACGGACATCTGGCTCCACCAGACCACGACGCAGTACCTACAACTCCTCCGTTGACACCGAAGACAGCATCTCTTATGCGTGGCCCTGGCTACTTTACCATTGCGAATTCCATCTTCCGACCTCTGACGTTCACGACCTTGTGTAATATATGCAGTTATCCCATTCCACCGTCAAACACGAGATATCACTGTCTAAAGTGTAACGCCGGGGATTACGATATATGTATGAGCTGCTATCACAAGCTCGTCGTTAGCGGTCGTATTGCCAAGGAAGACGGTGTAAACGGATGGCGCAAGTGTCTCCGCAGCCACCGCATGTATATTGTAGGATTTGAAGACTGTGATGGCGCACAAAGACGCATGGTTGTGCGCGATCTCGTAGGTGGTTACGCGCTCAAAGAAGAAGAGGAGATGGCAAGAGTACAACGGTATCCACCAGACGGAGGAGTAGGACTAAGACTACTAGCTAGATGGGGCTACCTACCAGACGAAGGGGTAGAAGACGAATTATCTTTCCCTCGAGGAGCAGAGATAAGAGAAGCAGCCGATATCAACGGCGACTGGTATTGGGGTGTTTACTGTGGTGTTGGAAGACTGTTTCCTGCAAATCATGTCACAGCTGTCTAGATGATCCAATGTAGAGAATGGAAAACCACGTGTCAAACGACCTTATGTTATTGTTCGTCCAATTTGTTTACAAGACTACATCCTTCACTGCGCAAACTTTCGCTTCAACCACTCCTCCAGCCTCGACACCACCTCTGCAGGCTTCTCATACGTCGCCCAATGCGCCGCATCAATCATCTCCGACTGTTCCAATTGCGGTAACAAGCCCTTTTGTATACTCTCATACATGGCTTCAGGCCTGCACACAATATCTTGCTTGCATCCGATATAGAGCGATGGGACGTTGACTATGTCCCTCCCCTCAGGTAACTTGGCATCACTCTCATGCTGCAGATTCGTCGTCGTAGCCTTGTACCAGCACACCGGTGCTTCAAAGCCATCACGCTGCATCCGCTCGATGAAAGTTTTCTTGAACTCAGCATCTTGCGCGTAAGGTCGGAGGTTGAAAGTAGGTTCGGTCTTTCCGGTAAGGACGTTCCGCATACTGTCAGGTTTGCAAAAGAACTCTTTCAAGCCCTCCTTGTCGTGCATCATGTGGAAGCTCTTCTCTAGATCTTCCTTGAGAAGTTTTGGTCCGTCGGGTGCAGTGAAAAGGTACCAGTATGAGAACAACCGATATCCAAAAACCTTCTCCATCATGTCATTTGCTCCATCTAGATTGAAGGGCTTGCGACTTGGGGCTGTGTACGTGACGTTCAGGTTTACCAAGCCAACTACGCGTTCTGGATGGTAGTTGTATAAGCGGGAAGCAGCGGCGGAACCCCAGTCGTGACCTATGGAAATGCAGTTTTGTGCCTTCTCTGCATCGAGGATTTCGACCATATCGTTGGTCATCTTGTCCCAGGTGTAGGCGGAAGGGTCTGTGGGTTTGTCTGTTCCGTCGTAGCCTAGCATGTCCGGGATGATGATGGGGTGATTTAGAGAGCGCAGAGGCGTCGCGACTTGTGCCCACATGGCGGCATGGTCGGGGTAGCCATGTTGGAAGAGGAGAGTTGGAAGGGAAGCGGAGCCGGGATAGGTGTAGTAGGTGTATGTGATTCCTCGAGAGGTTTTGAGCGTCTTTTTGGTGAATGCTTCCATTGCTGCGTATCCGGCGTGATGAATTCGGGATGTCTTGTTAGAATTGATGTGCAACTAAGGGCGAAAGCTGTACTATCTATACCAATGCCAAGTCGTATCGAGTTCACCTCGGAGCCTCCGAGAGTGATCTTCTACCTCACAAGTTGAGGTCATGTCGGCCGAGTATTAGTCTTTGCTAGGTAGCTACTACGAGACAAGTGGAACGTTTGTCAACTCATGCGGCCGTATCGGCAGAGTGGCGGAGGCGGATCCATAACTTCAGTGGAGTTATCCGGCCCCGTTCCTTGAGCTTGGCTATGTTGAGGTAGTCGACCGAATGTGCTATGCAAAGATGCGGCCGCTAGGGGAGAAAGCGGCGATTTAAGATCATGCATAGTGTGGTCTTTGGTATACGATCTCAACAGAAACCTCCAAGTATCTCATCGTCGCGGCTTAATGTCGATATTTGGTGATCGTGGTAGCTTGTTTGTAAGTTGTGAATTGTGCATCGCGCTCGGTGTGAAAAGACTTGGAAGGTCGAAGAGGCTTCAAGGTCCATGATTACGCCAAAGGCCACGTAAGTACTGTTTCTTGAACACTCCACCACGAATGAGCCGAGGTACTTCGGTTTCAGGAAGGGCCGTCTGGATGTGGAATTTATCATCCGCACTGCGGACGGTCGAGCGAATGGTCTTGACCTGGGGAGACGTCTAGGTGGTCCTATCACAGAGCATGACGAGCAGTACCGTTGTTGGATGATCAAAGTGGTGTCCGATATCATTAATCTAGTACAGCTTGCGCGATGTTCCCAGCTTGGCAGCATGTGTTGTGTTGAGTTGTGGAGCATTTCATAGATCTGGGGGTGTACAAGGCTGAGGGGGATCAGATGCCAGCCAATGGCGTCATAGCAGCAGCCGTCCTCATCGGCTGCACGCTCGCGCCGCACAGCATACCAACGTCCACAACCATTGCAACTCTACCACAACCTCGTCATGGCTGGCACACGAAGATCTACGCGTCAAACGGTTGCAGCAGCACCGAAGTACAACGAAGATGATGATTCATCCACAGCAGAAGTACAATCCAAGCGCAGCGCCAAAAAGACGACGCGTCGCAAGCGCGATCGCGAAGACGAAGACGCAGACGAAGAAATAGCAGACAACAGCCCTCCGCCGCCCAAGAAAGCCGCCACGACTCAAGCGAAGGCTTCCAAAGCGAAACCAAGTCCAGACACATCCGCGCCCAAATCCAAGACCAACCCTCCACCCGCCCCTTCCTCACCCACAAACCGCGCCGCGAACGGCGCTCAAGAAGTCTACTGGCTCCTTAAAGCCGAGCCTCTTCCCCGCTACGAGAATGGTGTAAACGTCGCCTTTTCCATCTCTGACCTGCGCGCCTGCACAGAACCGGAGCCTTGGGGCGGCGTTCGCAACCCCCAAGCACGCAACAACATGCAAGCCATGCGCAAAGGCGACCTAGGCTTCTTCTACCACTCCAATGCCAAGCCCTCTGGCATTGTAGGCATACTGCGCGTAGTTGAAGAAGCCAAAGTCGACGAAACGGCATTTGATCCCAAGGATCCTTATTATGATAAGAAGAGCGTCAGGGAGAACCCCAAGTGGTACTGTGTGGGCGTCGAGTTTGTGAGAGAGTTCGATGACATTATAGATTTGGCGAGAATAAAAGAGTATGCAAAGGAGGGGCCATTGAGGGATATGCAGCTCGTTACAAATTCTAGATTGAGCGTGAATAGGGTGAGGAAGGAAGAGTGGGAGTTTATAATGGAGTTGGTTGATGGGGCGAACAAGAACGATAAGACCGAGTAGGAAGATAGCAGTTGAGGAAGTGTGATTATTCTGAGGTTGGATTCAAGATACCCCTTGTGCCGTTACTCCTAAACGCTGTTTGGCCTATTTATTTCTCTCTGGATCCTATACTCTGCATTGGCCAAAGACATCTACATTCCGTCTAGCCGGACCAAACCATCCTCAATACTGAAGTGCCTGGATGATCTCTGGGCTGTTGAAGAAAGCGCATCGCTCCTGCAGCTTTTGCTCTGCCATCTCCTGGGTCGCATTCGCTATGCCCAGCGCGCTGTTACTCGGATGGGTTCCACCGATCGTCCTGACATACGGACCACCTGGCCGACTATATGCCTCGTCCCAATTCAGCAGCGTAGTTGATTGAGGCCCACTCTCCGCCGGAACTCCATGGCTGACAAATGTGCTCCACGATCGACTTGCTCGCATAGCAAGCTCGTAATCATATTCTGTTGGATCAAAGGGGTAGCCTGACCTGTTATACACCTGCATGCTGTCGAAAATGTACGCAAACTCCGATGTGTGGACAACTCCAAACCCAACAATATCGTCAACGTACTCGAGAATGGGATCTAGAATGGTCTGGTTGAAATTGTAAAAGTAGACTGGCGCTTCGTACTTTTCGTCGATCGCAGCACCGAGATGTAGCGATGGGCACACCATGAGGATGTCACGGAAGATGCGCGCTGAGCGGTAGAACTCCGCCGTCAGATTTACGGTGGTTCCGAATTCTTCTACAGGGTACATGTCCAGTAGCTTGGTCAGGGAATCCTCCGAGAAGGCTGGGAGGTACCCGCGAACAAAATCGTATGTATCTTGCGCGGTCGCAATGGAAGTGTTGGTGTAGACGTTCAGGTCACCTTGCATCCATCCAGACATGAAGGTAGCATTACCGAAGCGTCCTTCTGCGATAAGCTGGCTTGGTGGTGCAGGAAGGAAATCATCGTCCACTTGTGGCAGCCAGATATCCCCAATATTGTGGGCGATATCACTCTGGTATGTCGCATTCGAGGCCTCAAACAGCGTGTCAGTGTCTAACGCTCGTAGACACTCGATCGTCTCAGGAGCATCCACATCGGTAGTGTTGCATCCCACGTAGTCGACCAATGCAATCATAGCATCCTTGGCAAAAGTACCGGTGATACCAGGCTCGAGGGACTGAGACTGGGCGATACCCCGCTGGAACGGGAGTGGCTTCTCCCCACCGTAAGCCATGATCTGTATTCCGATTGCGAGGCCGCCGGAAGACTGACCGGCAATTGTAATCCTCTCCGGATCCCCACCAAAAGCAGCGATGTTTGTGCGGACCCACTCGATAGCAGCGCGCTGATCACGCAGACCAGCATTCATGCTTCCTTCCTCTTTCAGTGAGTCGGAGTTGGCAAACCCAAAGAATCCAAGACGATAGTTCATGGCCACATGTATGATCGGGTCGCCGTTCTCCACAGATTGCTTAATCATCCCGTCAGGCGCGGTCGTCGGCTCCGTATTACTGGCCCACCAGAAAGATCCTCCATGAATCCATACCAGCACTGGTAGCGGCCCCTTTCCTTGCCTGTCCTCCGCCTTGGGCCTTGCGACATTCAGGTTCAGACAGTCTTCAGAAGTCTCGGTGATGTTGCCCAGTCCGAGGGGTGGGTAGAGTACGCCCAGTGGTTGAGGGCAAGCAGGCCCGGGCTTAGTCGCATCGATAGTAGTGCCTGGAGTATACTCATAGGGAATCGGAGGTTTGAACCTGTTTTCGCCGCTGGTGTCTTGAGCATATGGAATACCCAAGAAGATTTCGATATCGTTGCGTCCGACGCCTACGACGTTGATAGGGTCCTTTGCGTCACCGAATTGAACACCAGCCGTGGTGGTGACAGCGGCGACGAAGCAAGATAGGGTAGAAAGGTGCATCTTGTAGCCCAATCAGTCTTAATGTGTTGCTCCAAAACACGAGGAGGCGACTATGGGGTGCAAAACTCCCGCAATAGGTAAGTGGCGAGGTTATTATGGCTGCGCAAAGACGACATGCAGTTGCTTTAGACACACAGATATCACCTTTGCCCGTGCTAGTTTGCAAGTGGCAGGTGCACGGCTGTGACGTGATAGACGGGAACAGGTGCTAGCCCGGCATTAGACGGCAGTAGCGCGAGCTTCTCCGCATCAATGATGCCAACCGCTATGATCCAATTTCTAGTCTGATCGAAAACCACGCCAAACAGGAAAGCCAACGCGAGACATGCATAAAAAACCTTGCGCTGACATACCACGTGTAGATAACGTGCCTTCAAGGTTGTTTGCCTGGTCCGTATAACACCAACACAATATACCGACGCTACTACCCGAGCAAAGCGTCCGAACCTTACAACCGCGCTTGTGCACCCCGCAAATCTTTGGCAACTACTTGAAACCTGTCGTAGCAGTCTTTTTCTGCATCGAAGTTTAGCAACCATGCCTCACGTGCTAGGTGAATCGACTCTGGCTTCTTAGCGATTTCATCCCAGTCGGCTTTGTGCCATCGCTCGCGCGTCTTCACTCCTGTCGCCTGCGCCTTGTGTACTCTTTCATAACGGATCTTCTCGAATGCACGTACGGCTAGTGGGATGCTTTCCTTGCCAGCGAGTTCGAGACATGCAGCTAGGACGACACCGTCTTCAATGGATTGACTGGCTCCTTGGATGGATGTTGGAAGGAATGGATGCGCTGCATCTCCAATCAAAGCGATGCGTTGTTTTGGGGAAATAAAAGTCGGTAGCGGATCGCGGAAGACGAGTTTGTGATCGATGAGACGTGCGCCTTTTGGTGTCGATCTCACGATCTCTTGTACTATCGGCGCCCATCCTTCGACGTACTTTAGACAATCCTCCACTCTCCCAGGAAACTGCCAGCTCTCTTCGATATTGCCGTCGTCTACGTGGGTAAACACCCAGTTAAATTCTTTGCCGTCTTTGAGCGACGAAACCAGAAAGTGGAGGTCTGGGCCAATGAACCCAGAGTGACTGTCCCTTTCTACAAGGTGCTTCAACATGGGGTTGTCTTTGATAGCGTCGCCAGAAAACCAAGAGCGATACACAGCGTATCCCGAACTCTTAGGTTTATCATCAAATCCAAGCACGATCTTACGGCCACGCGAGCGCACCCCTTCGGCTGCGATGACTACGTCAGCAAACATACGCTCCCCATTAACAACAACACCAGCTCTTTCCGCATCCTCGAAGTAGTCGGTCACACGCTGACCCCATCTGATCTCTACGCCCCGGTCGACAGCATGCTGATGGATGATACTGTACAATTCCCCCCTATGTCCATTGATCCTGGGCCCCCACTCCTTCTCGGCGTCAAAACTTTGTCTTGTAACAAACTCCCCTTTCCAGTGGTACAGATCCAGCCACGTTGTTTTCCGTGCAACTTTCTTCATTGCCTCAATGACGCCAGGCCAGCGCTCGAAGTTGCGCGCACCGTTCGGATCGAATGAGATGATATCCCCGAATCGCGTTATTTCCTCTACATCTGCAGCTTTCTCGAGAAGGATGACTGAGTGACCTTTTCGGTCACATTCTATCGCTGCTGCAATGCCCGCGAAGCCTGCGCCTACTATTATGACGTTGACGCCGGATGAGGGGCGACGGGAGAAGCGCGTCATATCGAAACGAGGTGTGGATTGAAGTCTAGAAGACCAAACAGAGAATATGAATCAGATACGTGAGAAGCGACTGTAACTTACAGTGGCAGGTATATTGATCTTCCTTCTTCCGTGTATACAGTGTGGGGTCGGCTTATATGTACGCCACAAGGATGGCCCCACATGCAGGCTAATTGAAGAGACAGTGGTAGCCGAGAGCTGCTTCTGCGCCCAGCTGCGCCCTTCTATATTGCCTGTTTGTTGTCAGGGTCCCTTAAATGTACCATCTAGTGCCCTGTGTGAGTCTGGATTGCATGATGATGTTGCAATGCGCAGCACACTAACATTCGCTCTATCACAGACCTTCATGAATCCCTTCGTCTTCTCCTCCTGGGCTTCTTTCTGAGATGCTGCGTCGTACCTTCGGGCATGACTGCCGGAATTCTATCTTCACCCTCACTCTCCGACGTTGAATACTGCTCAGCATCTCTTCCCTTTTGCACGTCCAACTTAGGAACCCCATCCCACAAATTGCTTTTATCTGGCAATAGGCCTGTCTTTTTAAGGGCTTGGAATCTCTCATCTTCCCATGCCCTCTTGCAGAGTTCGACCAGTACACCCGTGAAACCTGGTTCTCTAGATATAGAGAGTCCGTCAGAATAGAAGTAGTTCTCGGCGGCAGCAAGAAGAAGACAGTAGCACACCAAGCAACGAAGTTCTGTTTCGTTGCGAATGCCGACGAAGGGTTGGAGGAGGTTGACCACCTGTTTTTTCGTGGCCCAGGGGTCGTCTATGTCCAGTCCGGGTAAACTGGGCACGTGCTGTTGGTCCTTGTTGAAGGCGATGAGCTTGATCAGAGAGATAGGTGCTGGATCTTCCTCGGTAGGCTTTTGTGAAAGTGTATGGTAGGCCCACACTTCCAATACTTGCTCGGTTTTGAGGCCCTTTTTCTTTGGCTTAACAGGAGCGTTGTAGGTGCCAACTTGCACAATGATAGGCAGATATTCGCCAACGTCGGTCGTTTCATCATACCGAATGTCGTCAAATTTGGGAAGGAAGCGCAAATACTGCGCCCCAATTGCCAAGTGGAGGTTTTGAAGGTCGGTAGATGCGACAGCCTTGGCTATCGCGTTGAACTCTGCCAAGTGAGCCCTAAGCTTTTCACCGCCTTTCAGTATGAGTAACCAACAATGTTCTGGCAGACTGGCGACTCCAGAGTCTTCTTTTGTGGCTTGTCCAGACGTTCCCCGTGCTTGCGGACGTCGTGCGCGTACAATATGCGGATGATCACTGCCTGAACGCCCGGGCGAGGAGAAATGCGATGGGGTGCCGTTGTCAAACATGATGCCTCCTTTGTTCTTGTCGTCAAGTACGATTATCCTGGTTTGATGATTAGCTCGTCCTAGACGGCCAAACAGTTGAGTCTAGGTGTTCATGAGGTAGCGATGCGGCTAGTGAAAGATTATATTTGGCAAGCAGTCACGGACGATGAGGGAAAGTAAGTTTCAGAACTCTTCATACTCTTCATCGATTCCATCATCGCTCACAATTCTTTTAATCTAGCCCATTCCAGAAGTTTGTGATGAATCCAGCAACTTCTGGTACCCGTTCTCTTACAACACCATGTCCGGCTTGTGGGACAACATGAACATCACTGAACCCATATCCTCTTAACTGTTGCTCCGTACACAGATCATCATACTCACCCAGTACCACCAAAGAAGGTATACCAGTCCGTACCGCCTTCTCAAAGTTATCATGATTGTACATTGCACCGCCGTCTCTAAACATAGCAACAACAGAGGCCGTATGCCCAGGGTGTTCACGCATCTGCCATTCTTTCACCGCTTGAGGAACGATCTCACCTCTTCCAACTCTTTCTCGCCAGTCATCCGGAACTATCAATTCCCCGCCTTCCAAGAACCGTAGAATAAGCTTTCGCACCTCGACTTCGTCAACACCGTGCATCAGGTGGTGTTGGTCTTCTGTTGGGAAAGCATAAATGCGGATAAGTCCCGCTGGGGCAACAAGCGTGAAGCTGCTCACGCGAGATGGTCGCGATGCAGTGTATCCGACTGTTAATGAGCCGCCGAAGGAGAAGCCAATGAGATGTGCGGTAGACCATTGTAAATGATCGAGTAGCGCGTCAATCAGGCCGTGGAACAAAGCCGCTTCGTGTGGAATGACGGGTGTATCACTTAAGCCGTGACCCCAGAGATCTACCAACACGAAATGTGTGTGTGGGAATGTATCGTGCAGTGCACGTGCCAGAGGCAGCATTCCTATGGCTGGGGTCTGTACACCATGGATTAGGAGTACGCGATCGAGTATTCGTGCATTATCTGTAGGTGCCGATGGTGGTATCGAGAAGTACGCCGCTTTTCCATTGGCAGTTTCAAGGTGTTGCGCCGGTGGAAGCAAGGCGCCAAAAGTGGATGTGAAAAATGATTCCGAAGGACCTCTAATAGGCGGCTTTGGTGTATATGTTGTGCCTGGGCGTGGCAGCACGAGATGACTGGTAGTAACAGACATTGTTGCGATATTTGGAGTGGTAAATAAGTTGTATGATGCTGCGCGCTACGATTCTTATATTGCCGTTCACTGTACTGATACCCATGTTAGTCAAAGGGCGCGATTAGCGTGTGGGCATGACTCGAGCGAACCTTGAAACGCTGACACTCATGGACCTGCATCGAAGATTTGACACCTTTCACACCTTTTCATGTACAGAACTCATCAACCAGATTCAGTGCTCAGCACGAGGGAAATGCGCGATTTGGATATTGCGACGCTTTTTTAGCTACTTTCCTGACAAGCGCACGCTCGCAGGTGTTGCATGTGCATGCTGCGCGCGACGCGACACGATACTTAGCTGCATGTTCCTGTCTCCCTGCCAGCGACCGTCAATGGCCGACGACGAATTATTCCCTGCTATAGCGTCATAATACTACAAGAAAAAGAAAGTATCAAGAGCATGGTATGATTCACATTCTAGGCACTGTAAAAATGTATAATCCCTAAGCAAAACATCACCAATCACAAGACTGACGCTCTATGTATCATGCCGAACGTGCCGCCTGCGTTAACACGCAGCCGCGATTTTTAATGCGATAACAGACAGTACTGTACATGTTTCCACTTGGCGATGCCGTGAGGCGACGACAAGCTACCTTCAACTTCCGCGATCCTCGCCCCGATTCCTAACAATCTTCATGAGATAACTTCAACAACCCGAGGTCTCGCAAGGAGGACAAGGCCGCCGAGGAAAGCCTACTAGTCTGTCATACAAGAATGCAAAAGCCAGTCCCACCAGAAACCCTACGAAACGTTTGGCCTACAGCGTCAGTCGCGCATTTCGCAACCCCATTCCATCGACGTCATCTCTCAGTGCGGTCTCCTTGCCGTTGGTTGCGCCATGAGTTGCGGAGCCTACGTTGTTTCAATTGCGTGGGCTAAGGTCTCCGAGTTGGAGGGTCTTGTCTTTGGTCATCTTGGTAGGTACTTGATCGGAAGTTGAAAGGGAGGGGAGATAATTTGAAGTCGGTGAAGTTCTCGATGAACAGGGCGTTGCCTTTGTATGGCACTCGCAATGTTTCGGATGAGAAGAGAGAAGGAATTTCGTTTGTGCGAAGATTATCGATACTCCTCACCCACGCCGCGGTACTAAGGTCAGGTTGCCATCCCGGCCACATTACGAAGGAACTGATATGTCCGATTTGGCCCCAAACCCACCGAATGACTTTCTCCTATTGGTCCTGATCTTCAAGGCGGCGCAATTCTCCACTACCACATTATTGTGCCCACTCGATGCGGCTGTTGGATACCCACATTTCAAGTCATCTTCCATTAGTTTGTTGATAAGGCGAAGCAACAAGCGTAGTCGTGGTGCCGACGATGCAGACACAGGCATTCAAGCTCAGCGTTTTCGCCGCAATTATCAAACGCCTACGTAACTTAACCAGCAGCAACTTTAGCCGCAACAATGGCAGGCGACGCCTGGCTTCGCTCCTCCACCTGTCCAGTTCATTCCTTCTCTGGGCGGGTATAACTCTTCGCAGGGCCGGTACGTTCCTGCCCAAGCCACATACCATCCTCAACAGGGCTTTCTCAGATCAGATGACGCTGGCAACCAGCAGCATGACAGAGGTCATAATCGTCGTCGCGGACGTGGTGACAGTCGAACGCACGGTGGTATTGGTCGCGGGAAGGTACGCCAGAACGACCGCCAGCAGAGTGGCAGTGGTGGTGTAGGTCAAGGCTGGGGCATCAAGGTCAGAGGAGCCGCTGAAATTGCATCTCCTGGTGCAGGTGATAGCAGAATCAACGTCCAGGGATCTGGTAAGAAAGCGTAAAGACTCAAGGTATCGCTGGTTGACCTTGGGATGACCGGCCCAGTTTCAGTAGGCCAATACGTACCCGCTTCATCTACTTAAAGCTTCATGAAGCACATAAGGCATGCTTGGTCGGCTGTAGACCTTGAAAACATCTGTTGCGACGACCTCACGAACCCATAGCTTCGTGGAGCATATCGAACATGGTATTGATCAAGTGGAGGACTCTCAGATATATAAATAAGTGGGAAAAACATAAGAAATGTCCAATCTACCGGGCTTATACCGTTGAAGGATCATCGTGTTCTATCTAGCTTTACTCTGTTTATCATGGTTTGATCGGTCACCATATTCATCCGCGAACTACCCATTGTACATATCTGCGCATACTGGGCATCAATTTCTTCCGTTGAAATTTGTAATCGTCTACAAATCTCTTCCGGAGTCGCTAGCGTGGAGCCTGTATTAGACGCGTTCGAGCTTTGTGGGGCGATCATGTCTCCAGGATTCCGGTTGCGTCTAAGCAAGTGTTGTTGTTTGTATGCAGGCTGACGAAGAATAGGGAAGCATACGGTGCGGCAGCACGGACAAGTATTCTCTTTTGCCTCTATACCTTGCTTGTGAAACCATGCCCCTAGACACGCGCGGTGGAAGACATGTTCGCACTGGGTTTGAACAATGGTTCCAAACTCGCATCCGATCCTGGTGTTCCAGAGCTCAAAGCAAACGGGGCAAGCTTTTTGATCCGGCGGTACGAGCACTAAAGCATGCGTCAAAGCGTCGATGTTTCGTTCTGTTGATGGGTTGGCGTGAGTTTCGAGCGACATATTCGTGGAAAGTATTGAAGACGAAGTTGTATGGGCTTTGGGAAAACACAGATGCATGACACCTGGGGGTGAGTTGGAAGTTTGCTTGCACAGCCTGGATTCAGGCGGCGGCGCTTTCCAGAAGCGAGAAAAGCGCAGTACGCGCACGGATATCCTCTAATATGGGTTGAAACTTCATGGGCGTCACTCCTCTGTGGAAATGAATTTGTAGACTAGAGATTTTGCTTTTCTATTTCTTACTTTCGCCAACCTTAGCCGCAAACTCTAGACCTTCAACAACCTCTTGAGGTTGGCTCAGAAATGGCGAATGCGAACCGACTGATTTGAAGGTCGGCGCATCCGCACCTAGCATTTGTGCCATCTGTTGCTGGATAGGTAGCGGAAGTGCTTTATCTCCCTCGCAGAAGAAGTACATGGACGGAATGTCATGCCACGGCTCGTAGGTCACCTCGTCGGTGAAGATGCGCGCTGATTGATGTTTCAGTTTAGCTATGGCTGTCTTTTGTGCCTCCTCGCTGAGATCGTGATAAAACACGATTTCGGGCGTAGCGGCGTAACCGTAATCACCCTGGCTCTGAGTGTTAGTCTTGCTATGTAGAAACCAAGAGAACTCATCTGTCGTAGGCACGAACATCGAACTTCATCCAGGGCAGGAACTGGCCACCAAGCATAGCCTTAATAGTTGCCCCCTTTGGAGCGACGAAAGCAGCAAGGTAAACAAAGATGGTGACACCGCCTTTTTTACCTATGGCCTGCCGCTGCTTCAATCCCAGGCCCATGAGAGCATTTTGTCCGACTAAACCTCCGTATGAGTGCACAACCAGGACAATTTCTTTGCCTTCATCAGCAATCTTTTCTAAGGTAGAACGCAGCGCCGCGGCGTCATCTGCAAGGCCTTTGTTGGGAGGCTCCGCTCCAACGGAGGGGTACGCTACAGCCTCGGTTTCCCATCCGCGCTGGTGCAGTTGTTTGCGGGTGATGTCGAAGCAGTCAGGCGTGTGCCAGGCACCCGGAGCAAACACGATGATAGGCTTGGACATGTTGACGGTGCTGTTGATATGGAACTGAGGGAGAACGCAACAAGATTCAATTGACAAGAGGTGATGAGGCTGCAGTCATGCACAGGACGGAATGCAATGGCTTATCAAACTTTCGAGCTTACTTAGATAGGACTGATCTCCACGGCACAGTCCCGGGCGTTAGGGAACGGCCCGAAGAGCAGAAGTCTAGACGCGTCTGAGACTAGTTTGGAGGGGATTTACTTCGGGCATTAATTCCAGTTTCTCGTAAACCTCTGTTAGAAGACATCAGAAAAGTAAGAATGAGTAGTGTAAGCACCTAGATGTTCTTAATTATAGCTCCATAACCTCCGAGTGAATGCTTTTTCTACCCGTGCTTCTTGCAGCTGAAAGATCCCAAGATCACTCAAACTCCGACGATAGTGCGTACTTGACGGAAGGCGTTTTGCTAGGATACGTGCACCTGCGCCAGGTGTGGCTTTGTTAGGCGAAGATCATCAGGAGTCAGGCCATAACAGGAGATTCCTCCACCCGAACCGCCCCACATTTCACTATGATTGGGCACCTCATCATGATTCCTTTTATGCATATGATTCCTTTTCTGCACTTGAGGCCCCCGATCTGGGTTCACGTATTGCCGACTTAGCTTCTCTCACTTTCACATATACAGTGAAGCAGTTCAATGCATTTCCCGTCTGCAATACGACATGTTGCAAGTTTTGAAGACATGCTTCAATCTCGAATGAACTCGGAAATGTCAGATCCAGGCCCCAACCTACGAGGCACGACTACCGCATTGCTGGTTCTTGCGTTTATATTCGTGGTACTACGCTTTGCAGCTCGCTATAAGCGTGGGCTGACCTATGGAGCAGACGACTGGATGATAGTAGTCTCATTAGTATGTGCCCTTGCATCTCTGACATCCGTTTCAGACAACTTACTTCGTGCAAGGTTTTTTGCTTCGTTGCTGGAGGACTCAACTATGCCAGTAGGTTTTACACTTGTCATAGTCTGCTTGGCACTTTAACATCTCTCCAGTGATTAACTGGGGATTGGGAAGGCATGCTGTCACTCTGCCCCCCGACAATATCACGATGGTGCTAAAGGTCAGTGTTCCGTACCTAGAGACTCAGAGAGGTGAAACCCCCATTAACATAGATCTTCGTAGCTTCTCGTTGCCTTCGAATGTGTCTATTGTACTGGGGTAGGGCTGGTCAAGCTCTCACTCCTGCTGATGTACTTGCGCATATTTCCGACCAAGGACTTTCGAATCGGCGCATACATCTTAGGATCCGTGACGATTGGTTGGGTCATCGCCATCAATTGCGTCAGCATCTTCCAGTGCAATCCTATCGAAAAAGCCTGGTTGGGCCCTGCAGTTGCCGGCACCTGCATCAACCTCAAGGCTTCATTCATTGGTAATGCTGTGCCCAATATCTTGACAGACATTATTATCTTGTGCATGCCTGTCACTCAGGTGTTGAAGCTCCAGGTGTCAAACGCCCAACGCGCATCGCTGATCTTCATGTTCTTGCTCGGAGCATTGTTAGTACTTTCCTTTCTGATCTGGATGTACTCGTTACTGACTGTTGTTCGCAGTGTTCTCTTCGCTAGCATATATCGCTTTACAACAATCATGCAATTTGACATGGCCGACACAACGGGAACTTTAGCAACAGCGTGCACTTGGTGTGTCGTGGAAGTTGCTACTGGAGTCATAAGCGCATGCCTACCTACGATGCGTCCGCTCATGCTCCTTGTTTCGTCGCAATTCAGCAGCACTCGGAACAGATCTGGACAAGGGTCGGCTACGGGAGGCCGGTCGCAAAGGACGGAGCTTGTTACCATTGGCGGCACGGGGAGCAAACGCAATCTGGATTTCAGGCGCCTCAAGAATGACTACGAAGTTCATAGCAACGTCATTGCGACGCATACAAACGGAGGCCGTGATGACGCGTCGTCATTGAGTGGTGATGAGCAACCCCTAGCTAGTGTGACATATCGACAAGAAGCAAGGCATAGCTCATCTAGAAAATCTTCAACAACGGAGCTTTGAGTTAACAAATTAAATTCGTAAGAAAGTCTCAGCATAATTCTAGACGCAGCAAGATTCCAAAATACAAGATTGGCTCCAGCAGTGATGGACTGGATGCATCCTCAGCATCCTTGGATCGTACATGTGCTCAGGACGTAAACTTGACTAGAAGCAAATGATATTTCTCAACTGTAGAGCTCGGCCTCGGGTACTTACCTGCAGCCCTGTTTCTATGTTACACCTAACCAAACCTTGATTAATCCTTATCAAAATAGGTGTCTTCCGCTCTGACGTCGGACATGGCATCCCCTCCGGAAGCGTAGGTATGCCTTCTGTCCGTTGAGAGTCTCAAGCAGGATTCACGGATCTAGTCGCATTGTTGCCGAATATCAGGCATTCCCCGCGTGAATATCACGGCTTGGTCCAAGGATTGGCGATTCATGCCGCTACTGTTTTCTATTATGATCCTGTCTCACGGCCCGTACGCTCGTGTTATAAACAATCTTTTCGAACTCATCGACTGGTCAGTCTTTGTTAGCCATCTGTATAAGCTTCCAAAGATCGATCTTCCAGTCAACATAGAAATTAGACAGACGGAGTGGAGCGGGAGATGGAAGTTTGATGGCAGTCGCGCGATGGTACCTTCCCAGTTTGATCAAACAAGAATTCCTTCGCGTCTCATCTTCGGCAAGGTAGGTCCGAGAACATCTTAAGGCTTTGTAATAAAACCTTGTATACTGTCATCAAGAGTTTGAGGAAGTTTTTGTCGTGCAAAAGGATGTCGTGCGTCGGCTTCAGGACTGGCTTATTATCGGAGGAATTCTGATCCTGTTCATTGAGTTTTCTAGTTCAATCCTAATGCGTGGGATATTGCTAGTTATGAAGCAGTGAAAATCGACCAAGAATTGTTATCTGCGATATCAGCCATGTGAAGCGTGGTACTGATGACGATGTATAATCCAAGAAAACCTACTTGGGCGATCGGCAGTGGATCGAGCGAAGCTTAGCGTCTCGCAGGGCCCCTCCTTATATGGCTAAGAGCGAGAAATGGTAAAGACTTTCGCGCCCCCGGGGAGTGATGTCGCGACTTCGATTGGTCACTGCCCCCTGCACCATGTTTCGAACGTGATCTTCGTTTCTGCCCAAGAATCAGGAAGGACGCGAAAGCTGACAGATCGCATCTGTGGTAGCTCGATGAACGGGTGCTCTGAGACCTGAAAAGGATGTGCACAAGATGCGTGCTCTTCAACGATGGAATTACACCGAATTAGCCTCGGCTCATCACCCACTTTCGACCTACTGCCCGACGGAAACCACAGCAATCTCTGCTTGCGCAATGTGTTCTCATATGCTTCCAAACCACATTGACTAAACATCGAGGTTTAGGGGCGAGAATGGCTAACCAAAGTAGAGAACGTACTGCTGACGCAGTAGCATCGCAACCCCGAACAATCTATCTGACTGCCTACAACGTCCTCTTCGCATCGCTATGGGCGTCTGTCTTTGTCCGAGCCATCTCAAATGTCCAGAATGGTAAATTTGAACTCTTCGATGCGACGGAACCATATGCGCGATGGATACAAACCGCGTCTTTGATAGAAGTTTTCCATGCGGCTTTCGGTTCGTTCACTATCCCTCTTTTTCTTGTGCCTCTTGTTAAGCATGATGATAGGTATTATCAAATCTCCAGTCAGCACAACCGCTTTACAAGTCGTTACTCGTGTCATCCAGGTCTGGATGGTGTGGTACAGCTTCCCGCAAAGCACAGCAGATTCACGTGCTTACCTTGCGTTATTGCTTGCTTGGTCGGTGGCAGACACAATTCGGTACTTGTACTTGGCGCTTAACATGCACGGGAAGGCATCGAAAGGCATGATCTGGCTTCGGTGTGTCTTGTTGTGATATCAGAAGCTGCTCCAAACATGGCTAATTACCCCAGCTACACCATGTTCTATCCTCTCTACCCGATCGGTATCGGGGCTGAATGGTGGTTACTGTACCGGGCTATTGCTCCCGGAGCCAAGATCAGCCCGGTGATACCACCCATCTTCTACTTCTGCCTGCTGCTCTACATCCCAGGTATGGATTGTCGTCAAGTAAATTTACCTCATGAATCTAATTTCCCTTAGGCTCTTATACAATGTACACGTACATGATCAAGCAAAGAAGGAAGACGCTCAATACAGCACGCAAGACTCAGTGAGTGTATGGCTTGCTCAATGTATAGGGTAAACCTGGCCATGCATGAAACGAAGGAAGTTCGTAAATAGTCCTTCTCTTTGGGTGTGTAATCGTACAGGGTCTCGGGAGAGATCTTGGCCGCAGAAACGCTGTCACCTGTCGGAAAGCGCGGAACGACGGTTTGTCTCATCTATCGTTGTACGAGCATTATGCCCCATACTGTACACTCTATAATTTGAAAGTGTTGTCAATAGAGAGCGACGCAGCAGCGATCACCTTGTCCACGCGTGGCTTGACGAGCCTCCAAGTCCTCACTTCTTTAATATCTCTACGCATTATAGAGACTCTTTTACTTCGAATGCGACGCAGGTTACTTCGGTTCACCATGTACTATTCTTCGTCCCCTCTCTTCACCACGGGCCTGTCCACGCGTCGAAACGTGCGCAATGCCACCTGCAGGCTGCAACGCCGACCAGTGTGGGGCAATGTCAGGCAACCTCGAGGCTCTACGAAACTAAGATAAAGCTTAGTGATTCTCATTGCGAGCATGCGCTCGCTCACTTCTGCTGCCATTCGAACATCATACGCTGTCGACCATGCAGCTTCTTGATCTCCCCGCTGATATTATCGACGAGATCATCGGCCACAGTCTTCCATCCGGCTTTGAAGCCTTTGCGCTCTGCTGCCGCGCCATATATACACGCGCTGCACCCAAAATCGCACGACACAACCTGCTCAAACAACGATGGAAGTGCACCACCATTGCCGGCTCCAAAAACCAGAGCGACATATTCCGTATACTGTGCGAGATAGCTTGTGATCCTCTTGTCGGGCAATATATTGAGTCGTTGAGTTTGCGTGGACATGGAGGAGGCTCAAACGTCGATACGAAGAATGATCGTTTCAAATCTAATGAAAAAGTTATGGCGTCGATCAAGAGCATGGTCTTGCATTCAGAGTGCTTCAACAACGCAGGAGTTGATGCGCAGCTCTGGTGGGAAGTCATGCTGCGAGGGTTCGGCCTCGAAAACGAAGCTGAAAACGAAGACAATAACCACCGATCCTACCATAGGGTCGCGTACGCGACTGTGACACTCCTGAATCATCTACCGAACTTGCAAGCGCTAGAACTGCCACCCGAATGGTACAGTCTTAACAACAACCGTACACCCCTTCCTGAAGCGGAAGAGAGATTGGAAGCTGTGCTCAAAACAATGGTCGAAGCTTCTAACAGCAGTGGCAACCGGAACCAGCCGCTTGCAAAACTGAGGATCATCCTGCCGTCCACCAGAGAGGGATATGAGGAACGGAACCCTTTCCAGGCCTTGGAACCTTTCATGCGGTTGAAGAGTTTAAGAGAGCTATACAGCACGTCCTGCTTGGCCATTGACGACGGCTATACTGGCATGCCTTTCCATTGGCGCTTTCCAGGAATCAACTCAAACTTGCGTAGAGTCGAATTGGCGTACTGTTGCATGGACGCAGGAGGAATCTCTGTCCTCCCAAGCCAAACTCCTTGCCTCCAAATCTTCAGATACTTGCATGAGTGCAAATGGTGCGTAACATTCATATTCAAAACCAAGTGAGACAATGGCTGACTCTATCCACCAATGTCTACGCACGGCTGCGGATATGACTGGAACCCTGGTGGTTTTGTGGAAGCCATTGCTGAACATTGCGGTCCAAGCATTACGGAACTCACAGTCAAGAAGGCCAAAGACTGGGGAGCCATAGTCAACGGTGTGGTATCTTTTCGAGCGTTTCCCCAGCTACGCATGCTCGAGATTGACTTGGCCTCCTTCTGTGGGCCATCGGTAGCAAGTGGCCAAAGGCTGGGAGAAGATGCTGTTCAGGCAGAAGAGGGGGAAAAGGCATGGACCATTGAAGACATTCCATGCTTGGGAGACATGTTGCCGGAGAGCATCGTGAATGTACAGATCGACAACAACGGCTGGATGGACGATCCCCCGGAGCCAGAGGAGGTTTTGAAGCTGTTGCTTCAGGGTTTCCCTGAGAAGCGTGTATCGAGACTGCGAGACCTGGCTCAAGTAACTTTGCCTAGTTTGGGAGACGCCAATGTGCGAGCGCTGACCGAAGGAGTGGGGGTGCAATTCGTGTCTTTGAGTCGAAAGGGTGCACTCAACAATTCGCCGTGCTCCTCGACGGTGCAGGAATATTCTGATATGTTCAAGGCCGCTGCCAAAGCATCCAACGATGCAGATACCAGGCCCAAGCCTGTTGCAGTCAGACGTGGACGGAGCACTGTATGGGTATATCCAGAATCGTAATGAACGAAATAGCTCTGGTCTATGATAGATAGTAATGGTGATGAAGATGATGAGCATAATGATATTGTTAAAGTTAGCACAATGGCCCCTAGTAGCTTTGAGAATAGAAATACATGGACATAAGAACCTCGACCCAATCACGTCAATCACATTAAATGTAGGAAACCTTGACTCCCATACCTACGGTGCGTCTCACCTTGTCCCACGCATTCCGTATGATGCGGAGTATCCTCTCTCGGAGGTCCCGTCTGCCAAAAGCTAAGCCAAACGCGAGTAAGAAAAGCAAGGTACGGAAAAAAGCCATGGGATTTGCAGTCATCTGATGTGCCGTGTTGGATATCATGGTCTGTATGTTGCCAAACATTGTGGACGCTCGGTTGTAGAAGCCGGGCGGCGGAGTTGTGGGTTTCTTGCCGGGTGTGCGGGAGATTCGGGATTGCGACGGGGTGGGCTGGGGAGTTGGCTGGGGTTTGCGAAAGCGCTCGTCTGAGCCGCGGGGCTGCCGCCTGTTTTCCTCTTCGCGTTTCCGACGTTCATCCTCTGCGCGGGATTGCTCGAGGCGCTTGGCTTCGGTCTCTCTGCGGCGCTCCTCCATTTGCTCTTGTTGCTGCTGGCGAAGCTTCTCCTCCCGGGCTTCTGTATCTTCCTTCTCTTCCTTAAGAGAGTGCAGCGCTAGCAGGAATGCTTCCTTGCGCTCTTCGTCGAGCATTTCGGACATGGTGATGAACTCACGGGCATAGTCCCATTCCTCGTTTCTAGGCAAGACATGCAGGGTATACAGCTCAAGCAGCTTGATGCGCTTCTCTAGGTCGCGAGGCGTGTCTGTGCCGGTGTTTTGCCTGCGGTGGCCTGGGCGCTTCTCGAGGTATGCTGGAGATGACATGTGCGAGGAGACATCGAGGGTTGGGTTGGCGGTGGCGGAGAGGTACGTCTCCAGCTTCTGCTGGTTGAGGCGCTGCGAGGGCGCATGGGTGAGGAGGAGGGTGGCCCTTCATGGACGTTAGGATTCAGCATCTCAGCAAGTCAGCGGGGTGCTCACAGGTTGATGACAACGTCGGCATCCACGTCTCCCTCGACGCCCGCATAGCCGTCCCGTACCACGTTGTCCCAGATGCTGCCGTCGCGGCACTGTGACACCAATTGCTTCCATCTCGTGCTGCCAAAGGCGTGCTTTCCCTCTTCGGCACCCAGCTCTATGACGGCATTGAGGAAGGTGAGGTAGAAGCTCCACACCTTCACCCGGGTCCCTCGTGACGCGGTTGCGACCGGGGCGTGGCCCACAAGGTCGCCCTTGTCGCCGTTGGTCTCATCGATGGGCGGCGGCGTGATGATGGGTTCGATGGTCGACAGAGCCTCCGGCAGACGTCGCGTCAGGAACAGTTGGGCGGCCTGTCGGTAGGCTTTGGCGATCTGCGACGATTGTTGCCGCGATGTTGACAGCGACGAGATGGACGACGACAGGTAGCGCGACCCATTGATGTCATCGTACAAGGCCGCCATGGTTCGGTAGGATGCGATAGTCGCTCGCGATGTTCGGTGAGCTCAACAAGCCCCTGGCGGTGAGGGACGGAACTCGGTGTTGTGCCTGTCTCTCCGCGTTGGTTGTCAACATTTCCAACCTCGGCAGACCAGCTCACGTCACCCGGAACCGCCTTGGCGCGTCACCTGCCGACGAGACGACCCCCAGCCTTCTGCGCGCTGCAATTTCCCGCCTCACCTCCTGCATCACATGGCAGGCACGTGAAGGCGCCCTCAAGACGCGTGCAGTGACACTCTGCACTCGCAATTGACGCGCTTGACAAACGCTTGTTCGCGACAAGCTCTGCGTCAAGAGCTAGACAACGGCTTTGTCGCTTGATCCATCGCTACTGACCTCATTACTCACTCGAGACCACACAGCTTGCCACTTGCACTTACTTTTGACTGACATCGCATCATTCATCGCTGCCCGCACTTGTTGACACAGCGCTTGCGACCTTGCCCTCAGATCGCCAACAGCACATGAATACGCGCCTTTCTTGTCGTCTTCGTCGTTATCTACAACATGGAGGTCGACGCAGAAACATTCCCCTACCACCTGTTGGGCATGTTCATCCATATATCCGAGGCTGACTTTGTGTCTTTCGATCTCGAACTGTCAGGCATTCCCTCGCGGATTCAAGATAAGCCTGCCCATGGTCCAGGACGCTTCACCATGGAGGAGCGCTATGCCGAAACCAAGATGGGTGCCGATCGTTATCAGATTCTACAGGTAGGTATTACATGCGCCAGGTTCGACTACATCGCGAACAAATATGTCCTGAGACCATACAATATCAACATCAGCCCACTTTTCGACGAGCGTATGGACTTTGAGCGCGAGATCAAATTCCAGAGTGGCGCATGTACTTTTCTCCTCGGCTGCGGTTTCGACCTAGGCGCACCGTTTACCAAGGGCGTACAGTACCTCTCCCGAGAAGAGGCGGAGCGGGCAAGACAGATGGCCTGGGATCGGCTGGAGAACAAGAACCCGATACCGGACTTGCAGCTCAAGGAGGGCGATGTTGAGTCTCTTGATTTCATGCGCCGCGTGAGGGAAGCTATCAAGAAATGGAAGACTAGCACGTCCTCCTCTCTGGACATCACAACTCACACTGGACTTTCTGCCGCGCCATCGATACCGGTAATCACGCGATTTGAGAAGCGTCTTGTGCACCAGCTCGTACGTGCCGAATTTCCAGAGCTGGTATCCATAGGTCGCAATGAATGTGTTCGCATTGTTGACTTGGACCCGGTTCGCGAAGCCGACAACATGCGTAGGATCAAGAACCGTGTAAAAGATTCTATCATACGGCAAACGGGTTTCCGCTGGATCTTCGAGGCTCTGGTCAAGGGCGGAGATATCAATCGCACAGGTCCACTTTACGCCGCCCGGACTACAGGCATGCTCTCCACAGCCGACTCCCATGATATACGGGATCGTTATGATAGAGCCATAGAGAGATTGAAGACCAAGCAACCGGTTCTTGTTGGGCACAACATGTTCACTGATATCGTTTACTTCTACCGCACTTTTGTGGGCGAGCTACCAGTACGTGAAAAGTTTGATGATTTGTAGGCAATACTAACTTCGGCCAGGATACTCTACAAGGTTTCCAGGATGTAATACACGAGTTGTTCCCCAAGATCATCGACACCAAGTATCTAGCTACTTATGCTGAGGGCGATCTCAACGCATCGCCGTCGCTGCAAGATATTGCACAAAGCTTAAGCAGACAGCCTTTACCCGAGATCATTACCCATGCCGACCATTCCAAATATCAAGAAACCGAGAGATTCCACGAAGCAGGCTATGACAGCCTTCTGACTGCCACCATTATGATCAAGCTAGCCGCCAAACTTGGTGCAGAACGAGGAGAAAAGGTCACAGCACCGTTATTCAGCCACCCTCTCACCCTCAACAAAGCAAACGGCATATTACAGAGTGAAGACGTTCCGGACTTTGTCAAAGATGGACGCGAGAAGATTGAGGAACCGGTTCCCTTACCTCCCGTGGAACAACCCAAATCCAGAAAGACGAAGAAGCAAAAGGCAAAAGCCAAGAAAAAGGCAGCAAAGGAACGAAGATTCGAGACTAAGAATTTGTTTGATACACTCAAGACGCTGGATCCGGAGACCGAAACATCCTCCACTGAAGAAGACGATGATGCCAAACTTGCCCAAAACGGCGTATCTATCCAATGGGATGAAGAGCTTCAGGAAAGCGCTGGGTCATGGGAGGATGCTGTCCATGTTAAAGATAAGACGGGATGGGTGCCGTTGGAGCAGATGAAGCGACGGTCGATGGAGCTGATACCGGCCTTCGACTCCAAGTTCTGGGATGAGTTTGGAAATACGTTGCGAGTCTTTGGCACTGAAGAAGCCATCCTGCACATCGCAGACTGGGAGGCTTGAGCATTACGCAGTGTCAGATGTACGAATGTAGGCTGATGAAGAGATGGAGTTGCCAGGATGCTCTTCGGAACTATGTATTACTATGTCAAAGTTGGAGTTATGACATGAGCGACGTTAGAAGAACCTTTTCCACACACAAAGTATATTCTTTTGTCGAGACCCGGTAAGCAAGTCACTAGCTTTGTATACACTTCACCTCCGTCTTTGCGTCTCGTCATCACCAAACTCGTCCTGCAAAAGAACAAGATTCTCGATCAACGCTCGCTTTCACAGGTCCAATGATTTGCAACAATTAAAAGAGCTAGATGGGTATAGACAACAGGAATCTCTTAATATCTGTATTGGAATTGCCCGACCCAAGTTGAAAATCCGACACCACTCCGGCTGTTCTCCACGGCTACACGAACAATGAAATTCTAGCCGAACGCACCAAAGTGTTTGTGCAGATGGATCAACATTGCAACGTTGTGCGTCTAATCGATCCTAATAAAGCAAGGTACGAGCAAAGAACGAAGGACTTCCCGGAACGTGGTAAGTGTCAGTTACGAGTGGAACTGGAGAAGAGGGCTGGGGCGCTTGAGTAGCGAAGTTCAGAGTGGTTGTACCTTTGTCTTCGTCTAAATTCCAGGCACAGATGCATCTAACTGTAAGATAAAGTGGATATGCAAACTTCTAGCAACCTCGGAGTCTATTGAAGACAGGTTGCTACATCCCTCTTCGCAATGCATGTGTTCCGACACACATGCTCAGTAGCGGTTAGTGAATGCCTTCTGCCCTGAACTTTTCTCAGATGTGCTTGCAAGGTATATGGCGCACCACACGGGGCGTCGGGTACGCAACGCCGCTACAATCCTATGCGCTACTAGAATGCCCTTGGCAAACTTGGTCAAGTTTCGATACATGGACGTTTGGCCTAGCAGCCAGAATGCACCACAGGATCGTCATGAGTATTCGTTGACCCCATTATGGCAGAAGGAGTAAAGACGGGTAATTACAGGGAGAGTATGAGCGTTACGAACGGAGAATACCTGCGCCGTTGCTGCACTGTTGGCGCCTGGCCGCTCAGGTATGCGTCTAGTCAAGCCACTATCATGATTGCTTTTCCCCATCTCCGCCCACGTCCGGATCTGCGGTTACAGTACTCGTCTAGATATTGCCGGGCCAGCGACTTGCCAAGTATGCTTGCCCTGACACCGAGCAGATTCGGCACCGTATTGCGGGGCGTATCCAGGTAAAGCGATCCCGCGATCCCTGCTTCCTCACGCACCCTGTTTGCAGATGGTCGTGCATCCGCTCTTGTGCCTGCTTCAACTTGTAGGCAACTGTCCGCCCACCACCCACCACCCACCACCTTGCCCTCCCCTTCCTCAGCCAGTCAGAAGAAAACACTCCCCACTTCTAGGTATTCTTGCAACGGTAAAGCTCAAGCCAGGCCCCACCGCGGTTGATCTCGTAACGTGGGTTCTCCTTTCAGGTGTCGATAACCTCTTGGGGCGTTCCGCCACCGTCCCCTCGCCTTGTGTGCATCCTGCCCTGCGGGCCTTTGCGCGAAACCCTGTCTCTCGGGCAGAACCCTGTCTGTCGCGCAGAGTCTTGCCCTTCGCACGCATCCTGCCCTTTTCGCGCGTCTTGCCCTGCGAACTCGCGTGTAACCCTGTCACCCTCACCATGGCAGTCCGGACCTTGTGCGTCGCCAAGCTTTGCTGTCAAGAGTGTCTAAAGGGTGCACCGCAGCCGGCTGATTCATACCAGGGTGTATCCTAGCTCTTTGCAGCACTCCGGCTGGTCTACCGTGGCATTTGATGACGGAAGAACCATCATCAACACAACTCCATGCCCACTCCAGCTGATTTCATGAACAGTCCAGATTGTGTCTCTTCTTCGTCCGGCCCATGAAGACGGTGCGCCCTTTTTCTGCGAGAGAAACCTCCAAGTATCAAGTCAAGTCAAGTCAAGTCAAGTCAAGTCAAGTCAAGTCAAGTCAAGTCAATTCGTGTCCGCTCTGACCATGACAGTTGAGATCCGGTTGCGCCCCTGAGTTGGCGGATCTGCGCCTACCGTACACTAGATGAGATGACGCGGGCAAGCATGGCGGGCGTCGGGTGGTATGCATGACACTCGCCAGGCGACGCGGATGCGGTCATGAATCAGGTCTACGTCGGTCAGTCAGGTAGCCGTGCGGCGTTTCATGGCAAGGGAAAACCGTCGATGCGCACAGACCGCACCGGCCGTTTACCCTGTAGTTCCTCGAGACGCAACCGTAAGTTTAAATCCACGTCAAACCAGAGGAAAGCGGGGCGAAATGATACGCCCGCGTACCTCCACCCGCAACTCTCTTTACACACTGGACCGGCACCCTGGTTGCGCCTCTGCTGTGTGGGCAAGCTGGTGCTGTCTGTGCTCTGCATCTAGCGTCTTCCGCGTGCTCGTGGCAATAGAATGAGGAAGCTTTAGTCGATGGTATGGCGCGAGAGTTTTGTAGTGAGAGTGAGTCCTTCAGACGTGTGCATGTTTAAATAGAGGGCGGCGGTGGCCTCCTTCTACATCATCTTCATTCTACAGCCAAGAGCTCATAAACTTCCCCAACCTCTATCGACTGGCGAGTCAGCAATCATGCCTTACATCACCGATGCACAGACACAACACGGCACTCAGTTGCGACCTACCACTGTTGTTCATGAGCCGGATGTTCGATCGTAAGCGTGGTACCTTTTCATGAATTATGCCTTCCTAACGCATGTTTAGGACATTGGCGAACTGCTCGTGCTCCAATGCCTCGAATGGCCAAGTAAAGCATGACTGCACAGCTGTCTCCTATGTCCCTCAGGCTGCGGTAGCGCCTCGAACAGATCCCGCCGGACGTATCATCGACCTGACGTGTATGGGCTCGCAATTCGATGGACACTGAGAGATACGTTGATGGGAATGGGTAGTTGTGAGAGGAACATGGTATTGGATAAAAGATCGGACATGGCGTTTGGTGCAGGGCGCTCGTAGAGCGGACGTCGCATTGTAGACACCTTACCTAGGTATGGTTGGATGATATAGACGCTCGGTCCAGTATTGCTTCATGGGATGGACCAGAAGGCATCGGCGCGAAGGCGTTACAGTCAAAAAGAATCCAACCTTTTTTTGTTTTGTTTCCACAATCTTCTGCTGGCCGACTCTGCTCACATCGTATGTCGATGATGTTCAACGGTGTGCAGGCCCAGCAATGTCTGTAGCCTCAACAGGCTCAACATTCACATCCACATCCTTTGTATATGTCGTGATCGATGCGGGCACTTCTCGGGGATTTTCTTCGTCCGGTTCAGTAATCTCGTTCTCTTGCGGTAGTGGCTCGAAATGCGCGTTGTTGACCCTTTTGCGATCGATACGCCGTCTCCAAGGCTTGTACAACAAAACACTGAGGCCACCAAACACGATGAATGTGCCACAAATCGCTCCACCTACATGCTTTTAGTACAGTGCCTCCTTGACCTGACTGATCAACTTACCAACTATGTCCCAAGCGTCACCCAGCTTTTCGACGCCATCCCAGAATTTGCCGTGTGGCTCAGCAACGTTAAGTACTAGATTGAGGAACTGTACTGTCCCGATGATGGTCGCGACAATAACAGTGATGACTGTGAGTACAATGCTGTAGTAACAAATGGCGATGGGGTCACGCGCTAGTTGTGTGCTGGTATACAAACTCATCATCAGCGCGCCATCTGTCGTGTCGAGGAGGCACATGCCGGCAGTGAAGAGCAGCGGGAAGATCAAAATTAGCCAGATGGAGGTTCCCTTTGTTGCTTGAATCGAGCTGATCCCCAGGATAGCGATCTCAGAGGAAGTGTCGAATCCAAGACCGAAGAGCACACCAAGAGGGTACATTTTCCAGGGTCGATCGACCAACTTGAAGAGCTTTTGCAGGATTGGAAAGAGGCATCCTCCGCCCTGAATCTTGAACTCCTCGTGCTCACTTCCGGGATCACTCGCGATCATCTTTCGCATCTGAACGATGAGTTTGTACAGAATGTAGATGTTCATGAGACCAAGGAGTAGCAGGAAAGCAGCAGATACAGAAGTTCCGATGATGCCACCAACGCGCTCAAAATTGCCGAACTTGTCTGAAACGGCTGCTGCAGTGCCTGCGACTACGAGTGATGTGATGATGACAATGGTAGAGTGTCCAAGACTGAAGAACATTCCAACTGTCACTGGACGCTGGCCTGCTGCAATAAGGCGACGAGTCATGAGATCGATAGCTGAGATGTGATCCGCGTCCAGGGCATGGCGCAATCCTAGAGTATAAGAGAGAATTGCGGTTGATATCAGAGGCGTGTGCCAATGCTAAGGATAATCAGCTTACCCAATCAACACGACTCAGACTAGATCTCTCTACGTACGAGAACGATACCAACTGCCGCCCAAACTAAAAGGTTCACTACGATGAGCGTGATGATGATTGCGATCACGGGAAATGGAAGCCTCCTTAGGTATGGTATCTGCGCATGGTATGTAGATGCTTTGTTCGACGCGTTGCGGAAGAATGATGGTTTGGCTTCTGCATCGCTACCCGCGATTGACGAGGGGCGGGAAGTCGCCATTCTACTTGAGAACGCTCGCCAGGGTGATACAAACAGGAAGGAAGGCGACACTAGGTCCGATGAAAGGAAAAAGGAGTCTGAAAGAGTCGAGACGACGAAGCTTGTAAGACAAATATTGAGGATGCGGCTCCCGCCGAAGCACCGTGGGATGCAGATGACGCGAAGTGGGGCTAGCAGCTGTTATCGTGACCCTGGCGGGGTAATTAGCATCGTGATGTACTAATGATCGCGACTTCACAAAGCCTCGGCATCATATGTGACGATCAAGAGCTCGTACAGTGCATATTATCACAGGACCCTTTTCTCAAATCTTGCGAAAGCAAAGGGATGCGTTGGTGCCACCAAAACCGAAGCTGTTTGAGAGCGCGACGTTGACGCTGTGTTGCTGAGCAGCATTGGCGACGTAATTGCAATCGAATTCATCCGCTGGATCGCCTGGGTTTTGAAGATTCAGAGTCGGAGGTAGAGTGTTCTAGTCACTGTCAGTCATTGTGCCACGCATATTAGCACGCCTGACTTACATGATGCATCCCGAGAATCGTGAATATAGACTCTACGCTACCTGCAGCGCCGAGAAGGTGCCCGACTGCACCTTTCGTACTGCTCACGTTGATTTTAGAAGCGGCGTCCTTTCCATCTTCGCCCAGCAATAGCTCTTTGATGGCTCGATTCTCCGCAGCATCACCCAGTGGGGTACTTGTAGCATGCGCGTTAACGTAATCGACAGCATTAGGTTTGATACCAGCGTGCCGCAGTGCGTGCTTCATAGCAAGACGTGGCCCTTGACCATCTTCGCGAGGTGCCGTCATGTGGTATGCGTCGCTAGATAGTCCGTAGCCCGCGACCTCAGCGTAGATATTCGCACCTCGTTTCTTCGCGTGTTCGAATTCCTACAATTTGTTAGACAAAACAAATCTGCAGAGGGTGATCGTGTACTTCAAGTATCACAACTCCAGCTCCTTCTCCTATGACAAATCCATCCCGTTCTCGATCGAAGGGCCGACTTGATTCTAATGGTCGATCATTGAACTCGGTGGCCAAACTCCTGGCTCTAGAGAACCCTGAGATGGCCAGAGGATGGATGCATGACTCAGCTCCGCCAGCGATCATCACATCAGCGTCACCAAACTGGATCAGTCGTGAAGCGTCTCCGATGCTGTGTGCTCCAGTCGTGCACGCTGTGGTTGCCGCGTGGTTTGGCCCCTATCATAGTCAGCATTGATGATAGTGTACAGGACAGGGTTCAGGCACCTTGAAGCCATATCGCATAGAGATGTGGCCCGCAGCGAGATTGATTAACAGCCGTGGAACAAAGAGTGGAGATACCTTTCGGTAGCCCTAATATTTTTTAGTCGACGATCAGACAAGGCAGCTGCAACAACGTACGCCTTTCTCATAAGCAACTGTGGTATCGTACACGTCATCTAGGCTGCCAATGCCAGATCCCATGTATACTCCCTGGTAAAGTGTTAGTAAGATGTAAGCTCAGGTCTGGTTGAATTTTCCCACTGTGGCCTCAAGATCGTTTTCTTTCTTCGGAAACCAGCCAGCATCATTCAAAGCCTCCTCAGATGCAACCATAGCATATTGTGCGAAGCGCGCCATGCGACGTTCATCCTACAATATGATTAGGATTAACCAGAAGATGGCCAGGTGTTGGCAGTTACAGTAGGACTCATATGCTCCTTCGTGTTCCATTTGCCATCGCTTTTGCTGCCTTGAGGAACTAAGCCAGCCACCTGACTAGGTAGTAATGCGAATTCTGAGCTTCTATCCTTGATTGAAATGATGCCGCATTGGCCGTCGATCAAACGCTTCCATGTTTGTCGAACACCTGTCCAATTTTAGCTGGAAAGTCTCGGGAAAAGATCTACATAATTTCACCTAATCCGAGAGGGGTTACAAGCCCTAAGCCTGTCACTACTACCCGTCGCATCGCATGTCAATGATGATGGTTGATATTGATGTAAGGACGCGTTCGGGTGAGCAGGAAGAGCTAGTGCCACGCGCAAACTACATGTGGCGCGTGTTAGCGTAAGGTGCGTGCGTTTTTGGCGTCATCGTTCAGCTCCTTCCATTTCTCATATCCTGAATCGTCTTCTTCTCACGGATACGTGCCACTGTCAGATGCACGCGGTGAAGACCTGGAAATTCTTCTTTTGCAATATTATGGTCTCGTGATGAATTAAATGAGCTCAATTGTTGTATGCGCATTATTACCTAGCACTCTTACGCCAGCCGTGGGATGCCGCTTTGATTAGTTCAGTTTCGAGCTGTGGGCAATCCTCTTCGGGTCATTTCACAAGTTCGCTGCAGAATTCAAGGAACTCATCAAATTGACAGCCCCGAACCATCAGCGGCTCCAGGCTACCTGTAGGATATATGGTAATGTATAGTGGTAGCATCGCAATCGTACCAACTCATCGCTAATGCGTCTACTTCGCCACCCATACTAAGCTCTTCTACGTCGGAAGGAGGAAACAAATCGTCGTCAGCCTGCAATTCGCTAATATGAGGAGTACCTGCACGGTCTTCACGAACATACTCCCGATCCTCTTCCTTGACAAAGGTTATTTGCTTGCGTTCAGGACCGATGACCTCGGGAATGGTTCGCTCCTCTGTTTTGAACAAATAGTTGCTCATTTCGATGTTGAGCACCCGTCCCCGTTTTCGATCTCTCTCGTGTTGTACGCGCGCTTTCAGCCAGTCCATCTCTCGACAAACATCGCGCGCCATTGTGGGAGGTATAACGAAGGCGTTGATGGCTTGAGCACAGCTTGATGTTGGTGTCCGCAGTAGTCCTCTTCGTTTGCGTTGTGCTTTGTTAAATCTCGAACCATCGGCTAAATTATGTGTTCTCTCTAGCCTCGTCCGCTCGATAGTCTCAGGTTGTCTTGAGTCGATTGCTAATAAGGGGTGCTCCCTGTACCATGGTATTTCCGTCGTATCGGGCGTTGCTATATCCTCTAAGCGATGTTGGCAATGCTGATTGGATCTTGGGACTTGAGTGAACAGTTCGGGATGGTGATCCAAGGTCTTGGAAGTGAAAAACAAGCTCTGGCCTCGGTTGGACAAAAGAGGTGCCATTTTGGACTATAGATGGTCGCTTCACAACTCGTTATCCGAGCGTCCTATAATGGGCCACTGATAGATATATACTCCCTTATGACGCCGTCTCGAACCTTGAATGATTTCCCAGTGCTGACGGTAGGTTTGCATCCCACGTGTGGCACGTAGAGTTGGTTACTGTGGTGTGTAGGACGATTGATCACAATCGCACCATTTGTTTGACGGTCTTGACGCTTTCGGGAAATAGATGATGATTGTGTCGTCGAACACGTGGAGCTAAGCGCCGAGTGTATGGCTTAAGTTTGCGGTGCTGACATGATCTCTTGGAAGTCTGTGCAGTAGTGTTGTCAAACAAAGTACCGTCGAACTTCGATCAATCAAAAGCCTGAATCTTAGACTGGGCATGGCAAGGGGTACTGAAGCGACAAGACAGAATGTGGGCACTAGCAAACATCTCTACAGGTCAGTCTAGCATAGAGTTCTGGCTGATCGTTGGTGACACGGACAGCGATTACGCCGACACTTCGTGGAATAGCTGGAGTATTTTTTACCGCGCTTGGACATGAACGACGGACCGGAAAAGCTTCGACATTTTGTGGAGCTTAGGGTGGCGAGGTTTCTTCTTGGGGAATTGAAACAAAAGAGTGTTGATTGAAGTTCGGTCCGTCAAGAGAATCCTCCTGTAGGGGAAGCTACGCGAATTGCCGAAAGCACGTCATCGTCTTGGCGAGCCTCGTCTAGCGGCAATGCGCGAGCATCACTCAACACCAGAGAGATGACTCCCCGCCATGTGATAAACACGCCCCACTTCCTGCGACGCAGGCCTCAGATTTCTCTACTTGAACGTATTCAATATCGCCATCATGGATTCTCAAGGGCTAGGCGCTGAAACCGCCAATGGATCCAAGAAATACAGTGAGTATCCTCTCAACTTTTTTTTACCGTCGCAATCCTTCCGAGGTAGTCGTGACACGGTGCAATCGGAGTGTCTCGTGTATGGTGATATCGTCACACGCAAACATAGCAAATGGCTGCTGCTTGCCGTGACTTGCTTCGGGCGATGATGCCGACTCCAAAGACAGCTTTTCTCGTCGCGTTCTGGTCCTGATCATCCAAACTAACATGCTACAGAGACGGTGTCGTCGCAACCTGAGAACCCGTTCGCCAACCTCATTCCCGATCAAACCTTCGCTGTCATACCGCAAGTCACGCTCGAATCTGGCGTCATATTACAGAATGTCAGCGTTGCATACAAGACGTACGGTACCCTCGCGCCCAGCGGAGACAATGCCATGGTGATATGCCATGCGCTCACAGGAAGCGCTGATGTTGGCGATTGGTGGGGTCCGTTGCTAGGAGGACCCGGAAAGGCTTTCGACATCTCGCGTTTCTTCGTGGTATGTATGAACAGTCTCGGCAGTCCATACGGCAGTGCAAGTCCCGTCACAGCAAAGGACGGCGACGCGTCGCTGGGCCCATACGGTCCCGAGTTCCCACTGACAACTGTGAGAGACGATGTCAAGTGAGTCAGATGCTCCGAGCCCTATGCTTGGACAGCGCTAACAGGGGTAGTGTCTTCAAGCTGATCTTGGATGATCTCGGTGTAAAGCAGATCGCTGCAGTTATTGGAGGATCCATGGGCGGTATGCTTGTTCTAGAGTTTGCATACTTTGGAAAAGACTATGTCAGAACCATCATCCCGATAGCCACGTCGGCTCGCTACAGCGCATGGGGTATCAGCTGGGGCGAGGCGCAACGGCAGAGCATCTACAGCGATCCCAAATACGACGATGGCTACTACTCATACGAAGACCCTCCGTCGACTGGGCTTGGAGCAGCACGTATGTCGGCCCTCTTGACCTACCGGAGCCGCGATTCGTTCGAATCGAGATTTGGGCGCAACACGCCAGACCTGTCCAAGAAACAGAGCATCAATACTGTACCGCGCCCGACGACCCCATCAAATCCTTCGCACGAACATTGGGCTATACATAATCACGGCCACAAGAATGCTGGATCGCCGCGTCTTATGTCACGATCGAACAGCAGTACCGCCATACCTGGCTCTGCAGCAGCACAGGCTGATCTCGAATTCCACGATGCGTCGGGCCCTGGGACGCCGAACCTGCAACGGACAAGCTCCACAAGTAGTAACGGCGCATTCCCTCGCTCCTCGAAACCCTTAGCCCCTCACTATTTCTCAGCACAATCATACCTCCGTTACCAAGCCGACAAGTTCATCAAGCGCTTCGACGCCAACTGCTACATCGCTATCACTAGAAAGCTGGACACACACGACGTATCTCGTTACCGTTATCCTGAGGGCGAGACCCCCGACACACTGGACCCGGTATCGGCCCTTCATCATGCGCTTTCTTTGATCGAACAGCCCACCCTTGTTTTGGGTATACAATCTGATGGCCTTTTCACATTTGCCGAACAGAAGGAGCTGGCCGCTTGTATTCCGAAAGCCACGCTCAAGACCATCGACTCCCCGGACGGTCATGACGCTTTCCTTCTAGAATTTGAGCAGGTAAACAAACATCTGCTGGGCTTTTTGAATACTGAGCTCCCAGAAATCATGAACAGAACGCCAAATGTAGAAACCGTCAAGAGCGATACTGGTATGACTGCTACTAAGACCAGTACATTTGGTGAGGCTGAAGTTGAGGATATCACTGCATGGTAAGGAGGACGACAATGTGAAATTTAGCATGGCGTTTTAGGTTTAGGAGAGGACTGCATTGGTCGGCGTACAGTTTTCGGCATATGCTTGAAAGAAGGCTGTATGATTATGATATGCTCTCAGGCGAGAAGAGCTGAGGTTCAACCCCTCGTAAATACCAGACACTGCAGTGGGAAAGCAGCAACAACATCAACAATCATCGAAGAAAATTTAACTTGCAGTTTCTTGAGGTACTTCGAACCGCCATATAACAGAGGCTCAATCTTATTCGATTAGTTTCGCGTTTGTACCCCGCCTTGGACGCTAACTCCTAACTCTTTCCGCGACTCCACTGTCTTCAGTCCCCCTCAACCTCGGTTCTTGCATTCTGCGGATTTTCTCCGCAGGCTGCGAAATAAACGTGAGTTATCCGATCTTCCCTCCCGAATTGTGATGCCGCGTTATCACGAGAACTTAATCACGATGTACAATTAGTTGCAAGCGCATAAGCCTAGCCACGATGGAATGATCGTCGTATTTTGGGTCGAAAGCGCTTATGCATTCGAAACTCAGATGGGTCAATTTGAGCTATCCGTACGAAAGCCAAGGAAAGGGCGCGTTGCTTCTGAACCCCGCACATAGGCACTGGATGTCGGGTCCTTGTGGTCGTATACGTATTCCCCGTCTTCCATTATATATGTCCCTTCGTCTCGCTTTCTGAACCTCGCTACTCAAACCGTCTTCTCGTTAAGTCACATTTTCTTCATCTCAACCGTCATCGTCGGGACGAAGTCACAATGCAATTACCCAAAACACAAAAGGCCGCTATCAAGCAAGGCACTGGTGATAGCGCGACAACCACCATCAAGGAGATTCCCGTTCCAGAACCATCCCCCGATCAGATCCTCGTCAAGATCAACTACACCGGCCTATGTGCTTCTGACAAGTCCCTGCTTCACGATGAATGGGACTTCAAGATGGCAGAATGTACAAACGGTATTGCGGGTCACGAAGGCGCTGGCACTGTCGTAGCCGTTGGCTCTAACGTGCAAGATCTTTGGCAGATTGGCAATCGTGCTGGTATCAAGTGGATCGCGTCCGTATGCCGGAAGTGTGAGTTCTGTACCAATGGCCAAGATGAATGTCATTGCCCAAAGCAATTGAATAGTGGTTTCACTATTGCTGGAACGTTCCAAGAGTATGCCTTGACAGATGCGAGGTATGCGACGAGGTTGCCTGATGGCGTCAAGGATGAAGAGGCGGGTCCAATCATGTGCGGCGGCGTAACAGCGTATGTGGCGTGTAAGAGGAGTAAGGTGCTTCCTGGGCAGTGGCTTGTTATTCCTGGAGCTGGTGGTGGTAAGTAAACACATGCTTCTTTGCCGTGTTCAAAAAAAAGAAGACAGAAGCGCATCCGGTCTATAGAGACACTGACGCAACTCAGGCCTCGGTCACTTCGGCGTCCAATACGCCAAACATATGGGCATGCGCGTCATAGCAATTGACGGCGGGGACGCCAAACGCGAGCTCTGCCTCTCTCTCGGCGCAGAAAAGTTTATAGACTACACGACGTGCTCAGACATCACATCTGAAATCATGAAGATCACTACCTACGGTGCTCATGGAGTCATCGTCTTTGCCGCCACGAGAGCAGGATACGAGCAAGCACCACATCTGCTGAGGCCGAACGGTACGATGGTGTGTGTGGGTCTGCCGAAGGACAATACTATTGTCGCAGGTGCTAGCCCCATCGTAATGTGTTTGAAAAAGTTGAATGTTGTGGGAAGTGTAGTGGGTACATTAAAGGATGTTGAAGAAGTAAGTGTCGTGTTGTGATCGGATATGCTGAAAGTGTTGGCTAACGATAATCTAGGCGCTTGATTTTACTGCACGAGGCTTGGTACATCCAATCTTGACGCATGGTGGGTTAGAGGACATCGATCGATTCTGTGCGGATATGAATGCGGGAAAGCTTGCTGGACGGGCTGTGATTAAGATGACT